CAAAATGAACCTATAGTGCCTGTCAACTATGACCATGGGACAAGGATTTCACTTTTCTATTCTGTGAGCTAAATATGAGACTACAAACTGCTTTTACCTACTCCCTACCAAACCTAATTTTAAAAAGACCTTTTGTAGATGATTACAATTAAATTTGTCCTCAAATTCTGATACCTGATCAAGCTGGTGCCACAGTTATACTAAATGAGACAGTCTTTACGTCTAATATAGGTTTTTTTGTAGTTAAATACTGATAGTTTTTATGTCAGTGGCTTTCAGTGGGGCAGTCTGGGTTGTCACACTGTGGCAAGGATGTCAGAGTCCTACTGGCATCCCTGGTAGAAGCTGAGATGTGGCTAACGTTCTACCATGCACATGACAGGCCCCCTGCAACAGAACATCAGAATTACGGACAGCCCCGCTCCCACCATACACAGACTCACCTGGACCCAAATATCAATAGGGTCAAGGTTTGAGAAACGCTGCTGCAACCTATTTCCTTTTGTTAGAAAAACAAAAGGCTAAACTCTAGCAAAAACAGTACAACTGTTCTAGGTTATCAGTGAAGGACTGCAAAATTCACAGAGAATTTTGTTTGAGGTTTTTTGTTTAAACTTGCCGGTAGGTCAACTCTGGAAAACAAATATTTTTTTTTTCAGTCTAGTTGGCTAATGGACAAATTCAACTTTCCAAAATCCCATTTTGTGAATTAAGATTTCAATTTCCTCTAGTTAAAAAAATGTCCAAAGCAAATTATACTTTCCATTTTGAGCTGAGAGTCCAGCACAGGGCAGGCACGTAGGTGGCTCAGGGGTTGAGTAAAAAAATGATAAGAAACACCTTGATGTTGACCAGAAACAAGAGGCCCAAGTTAGAAGGGTGGCCTAAGGCTCTCCAGGAGATAAGGCAGGCCTCTCAGACCCAAGCAAGGGTACTTCCTGCACAGCTTCTGCAGCAGACCAGCTGTGCCTGCAGAGAGTCCCCTAAGCCACGGAGAAATAATAAAAAAACCCTTCAACTCTCCTGTTCCTGTCATCTCCCCAGCTGACCAGAACTGGACTACCCAGCCCCATGTTAGAGCAACTGGCCTTTTCCTCTTATGAAAATTATCACAGAGAGAATTAAGACCTGTGCTAGGACTGGGGGAATGGCTCAAGCAGTACAGCACCTGCCTTGCAAGCATAAGGCCCTGAGTTCAAACCCCCACTACTGCCAACAAGAAAATGTGACAAAAGATCATAGAGCAAGTGGAACAGACTGGTTAAAAAGAAGCTCCTGGCAGAGAGACGTAATTGCAGCTCTCTTGGTAATGGTCCTCAGAAGAATCAGGGCTGGCTTTTGAAATCCTGAGGCCCTGTAGTGAGCGGGGTTCTTTCAATGTTCATTCAGACATCCAGGATGTAGCTTTGGAAGAAAACATGCAAAATAAGGCTCTACTCAGTTCTCAAAACAGGAATGGACTCCGTCATCAAGATTCCAAGTGCTAACACACGCTAATTCTGCATGCTCCACACATGAGCACTAGTAATAACTTTGTACTCTTTTATAACACATCTGAAATGTTTTATAATTTTAAATGGCAGCAAGAAGATGGAATGTCACACATGAAGGCCCTAAACTGACATTTATTTAGTCCTAAGAAAAAGTAGCTCCACTCAATGTTACCTGGCCACGATAGGCAACTCCAGGACTGTTAAAAGTGGTGGTTAATGCTACTTGCACGTGTCAAGTGTGTGAAAAGCAGGTTGTTGGGGCTGATCCTGAGGCAGAACTGTGTGTGCATAAAAAGAGAAAACTTTATGTGTGAATGGTGTATTTTCAAACTCAGTAAGTTGAAGAAGAAAAACACACAGAAAAGCCAAAAAACAAAAGCAATACAATAAAAACACATACACCAATGTTCTTTCAGGATGACAGATGGAAATCAGGCAAGTGCTTAAACCTTCTGCCATAGAGCTCTTCTTTATAAATTATAACTTTGTTACTGTTCTTCCCGTCTTGGAAATTAAGGAAGACATTGTATTCCGTGTTTAAGAGTGTACAGCCATTTCTCTGGTGAAGGGATGAGGCTTCTTACTGGGAACTTGCAGATTTGGGTCAACACATAGCTTCTGCAAACCCCAGCCATTTTCTGTCCCACTGGTGGGGTGGCCATCTATCTCTTCTGCTTTCTCTCACTCATCTCTTCTCTCCTGTTGGCCTGACAAATCCTGAGCCCCTGTTCGGGACTGACCTCAGCACCTCCATTTCTGCAGGCCCTCTTCATGACTCTGGAGCCTCAATCTTCCTAACCCACCTCTACTCCTATACCGGGGGTTCTTAGCCCTGAAGGTCACCAGAATTCCCTGGAGGGTCTGTGCAGTCTCAGCTTGGTGGGCAACAGGGGGTCTGACTCAATAGGCCTGGTGTGGGGACTAAGAGTAGGCAAGTCTAACAAGCACCCAGGTGACACTCAGGCTGCTGGCCAGGCGCCACACTGAGAATCATTTCTCCTCATCACCAGAGTCCACGCTTGCATTTCCTCTGGACTGTGAGCAACTTGGCACTAGGGAAGATTTCTTACCTAGGGTCTAGCAGTCACTCAGTGGCTCAATATTTGTTTATTGATTGTCCATATGTGCCAAGCTGAGATCAGGCAGCTAAAAGAATATTTTACATATACTGCATATAAAATCTCTACGCCTTCATAGAGTTTATCATCAGGTGCCACTTAGTAAACCCTCAATAATTATTTATTGAAATCTGACCAGTTGTACAGAAGGACAAAAGAGCATTAACACAACCATTTTAGCACTATGGAAATAACAATTTTCCATTTGTTAATCATCATTTCTCAATCGTATAGTTCTCCCTTCCAATATCCCACCCAACAGCCGACACCAAAATCCATAAATCTGGCAGTATATATCAGGCTTCAGGGGCTTACAAAATATTTGATGATTGATTTATAACCTATTTGTCATAAATGAAATAGAAGTAAAAACAACAAATCCATGAGCTTAAACATGTATAGTTACAATAAGAAAGCAACCTGGAGGTAAGCATTCTCAGAGTTTTTATACTGACAAAGATTAAAGAACAGCTTAACAAGTGTTTTTCAAATTAGCATTAGTTATCTTGGAAGATGTACACACACCTCCCCAGTGCACATCCCACAATGGGTCAAATGTTTACAGCAGTTCTCAACTGTGTGGTATGACCCTCTGAGCCCCAAATGGCCTAACTAAGTCTGTTCGGCAAGCCAGGACATCTGGTTGACATTTGGATTGTCCCATGTGCAAATCTGAAAAGTTGAAAGGAGACCCCATGAGGCCGTATGAGGCTTTGAAAAGGGACTGAAAAAAAGGCAAACCTAACCATCTCCACCCAGCCAGGGGAGGATTTCTCACGTCATCAATCCCTAGCCCTGTAGGCCTCCCTCCCTGCCCTAGGAAAGTTCAAAACACGTACCTTCATCTTTGGGCTAATTTCTGAAAGTTTCTCGGCAAATAAAAATGGGAGAAACCACAGAGGGCAATTTGGAATGGATCTGCTTACTTTCAAGACTGAGTATTCTTGAAGTTCTTAAAAAGCCAAGATTGGTGCCAATCACACAGAGGGGAAGGTTATATGGGAGTTCCATTCAGGTTTATTAGTGGAACTATAAAAAGGCTGGTTTCAATATCCCATACTCAGATGTTTCTTCTCTGTCCACATTGTGACCAGATTTCTGGCTTACTGATGGTGATCCCAAGATTGGTGATATCGAAGAGCAATGTACTGCCTCTGAATTACTGCTACCCTAAATCAGTGACATAATTGGCCTGTGGTCTAACAGATCACTGTCAATCTACAAATCAAAAAATTAGGAGAAGATGTACAACACCACAGCATTGGAGGCTGAACACTCCCAGCACTCAGGAGGCAGGAGGATCATGAGTTCAAGGCCAGTCTAGGCTACATAGTAAGACCCTGTCTCAAAAAGTAAAAGAAAGAAAGAAAGAAAGAAGGAAAAAGAAAGAAAAGGAAAAACTTGGGAGAAATTAATATTTTATTTTATATATTTTGTGGTGCTGGGGATAGAGCTTTGTACAAGCTATATAAATTCTCTGCCACTGAGCTATAAGAGATTAACATTTAATTTAATTAATGAATTTGCAGTATGGGGTTTGAACTCAGGGTCTCGTGCTTGCTAAGCAGAGGCTCTACCTCTTGAGTCACGCCTCCAGTCCTTTCTGCTTTAGTTATTTTTCAAATAGGGTCTCTTGCTTTTGCCTGGGCCAGGCCTCACTTTGATCCTCCTACCTATGCCTCTAGTGTAGCTGGGATGACAGATGTGCATCACTACACTCAGCTTATTGTTGAGTATCCAGGATTTGCTTTTTTGTTTGTTTTTTGGCAGTAGTGGGGTTTGAAGTAAGTGTCATGCACTTGCTAGGTAAGTAGTCTACCACTTGAGCCACACCCCCAGCCCTAGCTTATTAGGTTGGGCTAATAACTTTAATAAGTTATTAGGGTCTTAATAACTTTTGCTCAGGCTGGCCTTGAAGCTCAATCCTCCTGATTCTACCTCCTTAGTAACTGGGATTACAGGTGTGGGTCACCATGCCTGGCTCAGATTAACATTTTCAAAACCATACTTGTAAAATGCAGACCAACTCTACCAACTTCATGGGTCAATCCTAATGAAGTAAATTCTAATTCTGATGACTAGAAAGATTTGGAAATAAATGTGACCTTTTGGTTAACTATACAGAGATTCTTAAAAGATGACTGAGCTGTCATTTATTTCCCTGGAACAGATTACTAATGGTTACCCTTGGAATTCAAAGGAATTAATATTTCTCAACAGATGTGTAATTCACAGTTGAGGTGACCTCTTGTGAACCAGCCCCTTCCAAATTGGCTGTATAAAGTCAAGATAACAGAAATCAATCCCTGTTGGTGATCACACTGATGTCATGAAATTATTGCTATCTCACTTAGTCAATGCACACACTGATATATTCTGGGAAGCACATAAATCTAAAATAAAAATATTCTCTTTACCATCATTAATATCCTATTAGTAAGTTAGCTTCCTTAAAAAGCTTTTTAAATTATTCATGAAATCCACCCATGTTTTCTGAGTTAGCAGGATGAATTTCAGAAGTGTAGTAACAACTTCCTCAGGTGGTCAGTGCGGTGCAGACTGGCCTGCTGAGTGGTTTTCCAGGCACAGCCTCTTGCTGCGGTGCAGCTCCTCCTGCCCGGGCCTGGGTCTCAAAACACCATCTAGCATGCAAGAACAACTCCATGTCAGGAAAGGGTGCTTCACACACAGGGGGGCTTGTCTCAGCCATGCAGACTGGAAGAGCAAAGCAATGCTTAAAGCAAAGAGCATGCATTTTATTTTACCTTCAAATTCCCAACCATTTCAATATCCCACACTCAAAATTGCCTTCATTCTATACTGATTCTAGATAACTCACAGGATCTGGGCATGGGGGTGCATGACTGTAATCCCAGCACCTGGGAGGCTGAGGCAGGAGGAGAGAGAGATTGAGGCAAGCCTGAGTTACATAGCAAGACCCTATCTCAAAAAACAAAACAAAAAGGTATCTGATGACCCTTTAAAAACTGGATTCACTTAACAGTACACTGCAAGTAATTCACAACTTTTTTGTGGGGTGAGAAGTCATTATTATTGGGCTGGAAGAGACAAAATGCACCTACTTATCCTCCAAATGAGGGACCCACTTGTGGGGTGGGGAGAAAGGGGGACTTGCTTCACACTCCTCTACTGAGGGAAGATGGCCTTATCTGACTGGGCAGGTCAGGAGATGAGCCTGGCTTCAACCTCCTTCTGGCTTTTGTTTTTAATAGCTTTATTGGTACAATAAGCCATATGTGTTTATACAATGAACAGTATGATGAGTTTGATATAAGTTCACACCTGTAAATCCACCACTTTCAAGTCAGTGAACATATACAACACCCGCCAGCTTCCTCCTGCCCCTCTGCATCCTGGCTCCTCAGGGATCTGCTAGAATTGCCTTCCAGGACAGATCCGGATGCCACTCCCATTTTCTTTTTATGTGATATTTGAAACATTAAGATACATATAATACAGCTTGGGGCTCTAGAGCCTAATAATAAAATAAACATTTAAAAATCTTCTGCCCCCAGAGAGTGATCTTGCTTAAATCCACAGTACTGTTTGCATGGGGGGGAGAAAATGAAAGAACCCACTGCCTCAAACAACAGCTAGGACTTTACCAATCCCAACACACTTCCTCTGTCATTCAATCCCCCTTTGCATTCAGACATAAGCACTCTCTTGAATTTTGTGTTTATAATTCCATTGCTTCTTGCTTTTTTTTTTTTTTGGTGGTATTGGGATTTGAACTCAGGGCCTCACCACTTGAATGATGCCCCTAGCCCTTTGTGCTTTATTTTCCACATAGGGTCTCATGCTTTTGCCTGAATTGCAGTCCTCCTACCTACAGCCTCCTGAATAACTGGGACTACAAGTGTGAGTCACAGCACCCTATCAATCCACAGTTTCACCACATCTATTAAACAGTATATGATTTGGCTTCCTTTTGAGCTTTATGTAGAAATTATATCATGACATAGTTCATTTATTTTCACACTATGTCATAGTCTATGTGGGAACACACACATTTTTATCTAATTTCTCAAGATAAACATTTCTATCATTTCTAGCTGTTACTTTGAAGAACATTTCAAGAGACAAGAGTTACTCTGGGTAGAATTGCTGGGTTATGGAGTATACACATGTTCAGCTTTCTAAGGACAATCTCTAATTCTTTTCTAAGGTGGTTGGAAACTTTCAGTCCCACTAGCCAAATGCAAAGATTCCTAAAGATCCACAGCCTCGCTCTCACTTGGAAAACTTGAATGTGCAAATCTGACGGGGGTAAGACATTGCATTTCTCTGACTACGGCTGAGTGTGATGGTTTTTTCCTGTATATCTATCAGACCTTTGCCTTTCTGCTGCCATGAAATAAATACCAATAACTAACTATTGCTCTCTATTACATGTTTTTTTTTCTTATCAATCTGTAGGACTTCTTTACCTGGTCTGGAAACTAGTTCACTGGTATGTGTGGAAGACCTACCCTTCCCGTGGGTGACTGGTCTTTTCATTTGCTATATCATGTCTCTTGGAGAACAGGAGTCCTTAATAGGAATGAATTTGAATTTCTCAGTGTTTTCTTTTATAGCCAGCATAATTTGTTTCCTATATAAGTTATTCTTTCTATTCTAGGTCATAAAGAAATTCTGCCTTTTCTTCTGAAACTTAAACAAAATTACCTTTCTCTCCTATCTTTAATTCACATGAGGTTGATTTTTTAGTATTATGTGAGAAAAGACTACGTTATCATGGATGACCCATTTCCAGCACTGTATATTGAGTAATCTACTTTTGCCCCTGTGATGTGCATGACCCTATGTGGCAGGGCTACTACTATGTCCCATAATTCATGGGGCCAGGGATACTACATGTCCCATAATTCATGGGGTCATTCCCACATTAAGGAGCTGTATCAGTCAAATACCAACAGTATGCCTATTAATAAACAGTGGCTTAACTCATTTGGTGACTTTTTATGTTAACAACTATATTTTGTTCATTTTTAAAATTCTGTTTTCAAAATTGGTCATGTTTTCATCATAGTTTATTCCTTGCTTTTTGTTGTTTGTGGTTTATTTGTTTTAGACAGGATCTTACAATGTGGCCCAGGCTGGCCTCAAACTCCCCGTCCTCCTGCCTCCACCTCCCAAGTTTAGAGATTATAGATTTATGCACCACACCTAGTTTCATTTTTCTTTCTTTTTTTTCATATAGTTATTTTTCAGACAGGGTCTCACATTTTTGTCTGGGGCTGACTTTCCACATAGCTGGGACCATAGGTGCTCACCACTACAGCTTGTGTGTTGCGACAGGGTCTTAATATCTTTTTATCCAGGCTGAACCTTGATACTCCTGTTCTCTATCTCCAGAGTAGCTGGGATTATGGAAGTGTACCACCAGGCCCATCCCCCTCAGTGTTTCAATAATATCTTTTTACTTAGACATTTTATACCATTTATTTGACAACTCCAGAACAGGAAGTCCTTGCTGGTCTAACTATGCTATTTGTTGCTTCTGTTCCTCTCACTCATGGTGTTTTATTTATTTCTTTTCAATTTTTTTTTTTCAGCACCGGGGGTTTGAACTCAGAGCTTCACATCTGCTAGGCAGGCACTATACCACTTGAGCCATTCTGCCAGCCCTTTAACAAATATTGAATGGGACCTCAGAAGTCATCCTTTTTTTTTTTGGTGGGACTGGGGTTTGAACTCAGGGCTTTGTGCTTGCAAAGGAGGTGCTCTACCACTTGAGCCACTTTTCCAGTCCTCAATTGTGAACTCCTATCTTAAACCTGTGTGTGGGGAGCAGATAATGAGAAGCCTATGAGAACTTGACATAAGCAGCACAGTTGTGCTCAATGATCTACAGGTTGTTAGGCACAGCCCCAGCCACAAAAGAGAGCAAGAGGCAAAATGCAGCACAGTTGCTTTTCCTAAGTTGTTTACTTTCAGAAGTAGAGAGCAGGTTTCTCTTGTTACATTGTCATTCCCCTCCCCAAGAACTGTTGCTCCACCTCCTTGTTTACCACCAAATATAAAAGACACGCTGAAGGAGGACAGGGGTTTTTAATTGGCTGTGGCTGATGCTGACACTGGCTGTTGTGTCTCCACCAGGAGCAGCCTTCTGCACCGAGAACTTTATACATAAGCTTTAGAAAAGCTAAGCTAAAGAGAACATGGGACAGTAGAAGTCTAAGGACCAAGACTTTAATGCAGTTTTTAGACGCAGCTGCTGTTGTTTGTCTGCAAGTCTGAGCACTGAGACTTTAATGGGAACATGGGACAGTGCAAGTTGGAGGGCCAAGACTTTAAGAGAGATTAAAGAAAACATGGGACAGTGCGAGTCTAAGGAAAGAGACTTTAAAGAACAGAAAAGAAGACTTTAGAAGTAAGGTTTTAAAGACAGAGAAAAGAAGCATAGTAAAGAGAAGAGAAGTAAAAAAGCAGCGAGGCTGTTGTGCATCTCCAGCTGAGTGCCCAACACACCTGATCCCAACTTTCTGCATGTCTGTCTTCTATCGTTTGTCCTTTCTGTATCTCCAGTCACCCCCAGTTAGGTCGGGAGAATAAGAGATCGTGAGAAAGCTTGCTACACCTGTGGGCTTCATTTGGGATTGATTTCCTCCTGAGAGAATCTGTACTTGCTTCTGCCAGAAGGCAGGAGGCGTCCCTGAGTGGTAGGCTTAGCTCCCTCTGAGGACCCCAGCTTCCTGTGGGAGTCTCCAAGTTAACTTTGGCTTTTGTGTTTGCTTACTGCTGCCATTCAGATTTAATGCTCCTCTTCTCTTTCTCTCTCTTTGAGAAGAATATGGGTCCCTTATTTTCCTGAAAGCCCAGTGACTGAAAAGAATGCTCATTATGTGTTATTTGGGTTCTGGCTCTATGGAGTGGAAAGGCATAGGAGGGGAGCTAGCCACACTGCCACCTTCTGATTGTTCTTGCTACTGCACTGGGCAAGCAGAAGGGAGCACCTCCCTCAGCTGGACAGATAGATGTGGCCAAAGGTCAAGTCTCTCTAGCAGTAAAGCTGGAGTTTCAACTTTCATCTGTTTGAGTCTGTGTCTATTTCTCAACAGAATAAAAAATTGGAAGGAAACCACATACTGTATGATTCCATATATATGAAATGGTCAGACTAGACAAATCTACACAAATAGAAATAGATCAGTGGTTGCCTAGGGCTAGGGGTGGGAATAGGGGATTGGCTGCAAATGGGTAGAGGTTTCCATGTAAGATAACGAAAATGTTCTGAAATCAGGTTGTGGTGATGGTCGTGCAGCTCTTAATATACTAAACACCACTAAATTCTGTACTGTAAAAGGTAAATTTATGAATGTGAATTATACTTCAATAAAACTGCTACGTAGTTGAAAAGGAGATAAGCATATTATTTATTGATATAAAACACTTGTTCAAAAATGCATAAAAACATCAACATAGTTTAAAGAACTGTTGCAAAGCAAACATACACTTCACTTGCCAACAAGCCAGCAACTTCCCTCTGTCCCCTTTCCAGCCTCAGGACTTCATGAGGAGCATGCCTTCCTGCTCCTCACTGCTCAAGGTCTGACAAGTTGTGGGCACACGTTCTTTGCTGACTCTAAGTGGAAAATACCTTCCATCCCATGGCTTGCCTTTGCACTAATGGTATCTTTTAATGAACAGATGCTCTTAATTTTAAGATAGATTAACTGATTCATTTTTTTATATTAGTGCTTTCTGTATCCATTCCCTAACAATAGTAAAATTTTAACTGTCTCCGTCAAACACTGTCATTGAATATACATCCTTTAACCAGATCCATATATTTTCCCTTGTTTCTTGATAAAATTTTCAAAAGAAAATTCAGTGAATGTGTATTTTTTTCCAGATTACAAATAGTAAATTTACTATCTGAATAAAATAAAGCTAATTCAGAACACAGAATATCAAGACATTCACATTTTCATAGACAACTTTATGTTTCTTGGTTTTTCGAGGTAATCAAATCCTGTACTTCTATTTACCTAGAATCCAAACAGTCAACAAAGTGACTATTTTCAAATAATATTGTATAGCACTAATGTTCAAAATTATGTGTTGAAGGAATTATATTCAATTATATTCAGTTGTGTCAATATACAAATAATAAAACTTTGAGGACTAATGATTTATTTAAGGTAGCAGTGATGATTCTTAGATTATTCAAATAAACAATACATTTCCATTTTCTGACCAACTTGGGCAAATGTGGCTTTATTCTCGAAGAATATACAGACATCCTTATCATTTGGAGCCACTCACATAAGTATACTTATTTTTATTTTCTCACACTCAAGAAACTTATGTGTTGTTTTGCTTTTTTGGTGGGACTGAAATTTGAATTCAAAAGCAGGCACTCTATCCCTTGAGCCACACCTCCAGTCTATTTTGCTCTGATTATTATTTTTTTTTTTTGGAAATGGGGTCTCTTGAACTATTTGCCCAGGCTGGCCTTGAACCGCAATCTGCCTGATCTCATCCTCCTGAGTAGCTAGGAGTATAAGGTGTGAGCCACCGGTACCTGGCTAAGAAACTTATGTTTTGGTATAGAAGAATATTGTTGTTTACTGTTTCATAGAAATTTAATTTATAAATTCAATTTGTACATGACTAATTGTATTAGCATGTATAATCTGCTGTGTAATTATTAATCAGCATTTTCCACAGCACCTTGCACATAGCACATACACAAATGGTTATGAACAAACTGAATAGCAAAAATCAACCTGTAAAATGAATCCCCTCCACCTATTGATAGGATAACGTCTGTCACCTAATCTTTAAATCAGTATGTATCCATTCTCCTCAGTAACAAATTTAACCTCAATGTAGAACTTGCAAATACTTACTCTCTCTTCTTTCAGGCTCATTTTGTTCAAGATCATAAGCTTCATATGGATTCAGCTGCCACTGCAAGAGGGTACAAATATTGTATTTATATGCTTTAAAAAGATACTAATAAATAGCATTTTAGCTCCCTGCTTTTAAATATAAAACAATTTTTTAAAATACAAGAAAAAGGGCCTAATAATGCCATCTTGATTGATCCTGAATGGTATAACTTCTGAGATCAGAATCAAAACTCTTAGAGAGGGAAGGGCCTTTTAAGCTCCTTTACCTTCACTTTGTAGGTAAAAAGGTGATTTACCCAGGTTATGTAGTAACTAAAGGCAGCCATGGTCCTAGCTATTCAGGAGGCAGAGATCAGGACGATCATGGTTCGAAGCCAGCCCGGGCAAATAGTTCATGAGACCCTATCTCGAAAAAAAACCCTTAACAAAAATAGGACTGGTGGAGTGGCTCAAGGTAGAAGGCCCTGAATTCAAGCCCCAGTACCACACACACACACACACAAAAAAGGCAGCCATGGGACTGGAGCCTGGGCCTGCCTATGCCTGGCGCCATGGAGATCTACCACATGAGATTCTACTTCCAGGTCCTATTGAAACTTAAAATAGCTTAAAGAATGAAAGCATGACCAACATTACCTTGCCTTTTCATACAATTGTGCCATATAAACTAATATTTATATGCTGCATCATTTTATTTCACATATCATATCTTATACCTCTCTGGTTATCATATTCCATTTCAGTCACTCAGAAAAAAATAGGGAAGCCTGCAGATTCTGAAGTATTACACAGAAGACTGGAGCAGCAGTATCTCGCAGCACAACCTTCCTTCCTTTCCCACCTGGCTAGAATCGCCATTGGAATCACTAATGACTTAACCAAAAGGCCCTGCTAGGCCGTTATCTCCAGAAAGACACAATTAACTACAAATTCTGGGAGCCTCTTCCTTAAGCACTAGTTAGTTCAGCAGACCCCCTCTTGAGTCTTGAGGGGGTGCAGCACAAGGCAAACAATTAATAGCACATTAAAAGTCCTTATGACATTTCTTACATACATAGACACTGGATAGTATTTTCCTGTATTGTAAAATTGTGTATATATGTACATGAATTTTACAATATATGTATATATCCATATATATATATTGATTCATATATATGAATATATTTATTTTGATACCCCTATGAATCCTATGTATATGGATGCACACACACACACACACACACACACACACACACACACACAAACTGATGTATGTAACAGGAATGTAAAGCTGAAATTTCAAATACTTAAATGCTTTTTCTACCCATTGCAAATTCTAGTATCTAAATGTTACATTAAATGTCAGTATTAAATCACTGGCCGTCATAACAAGCAATATGTTAGTCTGGACAAGATCCTTTTGTTATATAGAACACTACTGGGACAACTAGTAGCCCTTGGTTGGAGACTATGGATTATTTACAGTGATGTATCAGTGTTAATTTCTTAATTTTTTGGTTCTACTATTTCTCATTTGAGGAAACAGGGTAATTTGGTATCATGCCAACAATTGGAAAAAATTTCTTTGTAGAGTTTTTGGAGCTTTTCAACATGCTTGAGATTGTTTCAAGTAAAATTAAAAACCTAAATAGTAAACAAGCATAAAGAATTAAAGTTCTGAGTTTTCCATGAACTGCTTCAGTCCTTTTCTTCAAATGTAAATATAACATGATAATTTTTCCTGGTTTTTCTGATGAAAAAAGACCGTCCTGTCTTTTGGACTGTTTTCACCTCTGTCTACCACTCCAAGCCTGAGGTGACTCAGAGCTTTTCTTCCGTTAGACATCAGATGGCACCAAAGGGCCCACTGGCTCAACACGCTCAAGGTCCATGCACAATCTACCACTTCATAAGGCAGAGATCCTTGGCTGAACACTTAGGTAAGTGTTTGTACACAAAAATGAACTCAGTTATAAACTGCTGAGACTCTTTAAGAAGGTGGAAATCCATAATTTGTAATATGCAGCAGGATACCAAACAGAATAATACTTTGAAAAAAAGTGCATCTACTTACTGTAAACTTGCTAACACCTTCAAGTTCCCCAAACCTCATGTAAGCGATGTCTGCTTTCTTTTTTCCAACATCTACATCCCCTGCATAGATTTGCTTTATGCCTGCACCTTTAATTAAAGGTACACATTCATCACACGGGCACTTTGTCACAAAAATCATGCTTCTTTCTTCTGGTTTTATTTCTTGACATCTACAAAAAATTGTAAAAAATTGTAAGGCAGTTTCTGAAAGAATAAGCTATTTTTTAGAGAAATCCTTAAACAAAATTGAGCTGTTGGAAAGATTTACATTATAAACAATAATCAAGCCTTATTCTTAAAATAGTGAATGTTCAAAATATATAAAAACATGATGATTATTGTAGCTGGAATTCATTTACTGATTCTAAGCCATTGGCAAGATGTTCAGTATCAGCTTAAGAAGCAAGTGAAAACAGATAGATACAGATGTGTGTATGTGTGTGTGTGTGTGTGTGTGTGTGTGTGTGTGAGAGAGAGAGAGAGAGAGAGAGAATGGAGGAGAGAGTTTAAGAAAAGAAAACAATGTTTTCTGAGTTAGTACCTCTGTAATACTACAAATTGGGGTTTAAACTCTTTAAGAGCTAACCAGCCAAAAGACCTACAGGGTCCTACAGGACATCTTATAAATGCTTACCAATGAGTAAATTAATACTAAAGTTTGGTTTTGAGTTACAGTTCTCTTAACCCTTCCCCACATAGGATAATTTTATTTAACAAACATTTGGATATGACATGTTCATACCTCCATACAAAATGGAACAAGTATGAATTTGGAATAAAACATTGTAAACCAGCTTTGCAAAATTTTCCAGCCCAGATACTCTCCTATTCCTTTGAATGGATTGCCTTACTCTGTGCAAAGATTAATATCCATGTTAGATTTTGCAGTGCTAACAACCAACATTCATTCTCCTATTTTGCCAAGCTGGTACAAAGTAAAGTTGTTAATCTAATGTTAATGAGATGAAAGCAATTTTGTAAATCTCACATATTTAGCAACACTTCATGTAACTAAGTTTTTTTGGTAGTGTCTGGTAGACCTTAGAATGGTATAGCCAGTAGGTTCTTATTCAGACTTTAAGTATGTTAAGTAAGCATAACAGGGCATTAATAGTTACTTCTGAGAGTTTTCTGGACAAGCTTTTCACTATATTCTCTAACCTTGGTGTGAAAACAAAAGTGGCACAGAAATTTGCCCTTCATTTTCTTAGGCTTTTTCAACAAAGACATTGGATAGTATTGCAATTTGAGAATACTGGTCTGCCTCAAATTTGGTGGTCTGTGTGATCACTATTGTACTGGAAGTCATCTGGATTCTTTGTTTTTGGAATTTGACAACATGTTTGGTATAAAACTGTAATTGGCAGGCTTATTTATCCATTGCACTAGGTTAGCTTTAATTGTTCTGTATTATATAAAGATAAATTTGCTCAAAAATAAATCTGCATAGATTGAATAAATAATCCTCATACTCAAAAAAATGGAGCAAGCAATGCTGCAGTGGAAAGAACAAAGAAAAGAATACAGGATATTTTTGGTGAAAATTTGCATTTGGGAGGTAGTTTATGTCTAAGCTTTCATCTGATGCTATAGAGATTATAATTCCAGGTGCTGTGGTCTACACTGCTTTCAGCCAGCTGACTTTAATTCTTCCATATTTATCTTTCTAGTTGAGAGATCTCTGCTATGGTATGGATATGAAGTATCCCCCAAAAGACTCATGTATTGAAGGATTGGTCCCCACTAGATGAATCCAAACACTGAGAGGTGATTAGATCATGAAGACTCTGACCTAATCAATGGGTTAATCCATTGATTAATTCATTTAATCTGAAGGCATTATTGGGAGGTGGTGGAAACATTCAAACGTTGGGCCTAGTTGGAGGAAGTAGGTCACTGGGTGTGTGTTTTTAGGGATATAACTTGTCTCAGACAAGTATTCTCTCTGCCTCTTGGCAGCCATGAGGTGAGTAACTTTGCTTTTCCTCACCCTTCCCCCATGATGCTCTGCTTTCCCACATACAGGCCCAGAAGCAATGGAGCCAAGTGGCCTTGAACTTAAACCGTGAGCCAAAATAAATTCTTCCTCAAGTTGTTTTCTCTGGTATTTTGTCACAGCAAACAAAAAGCCTGACTAACATATCCCCATTTCTGTTTATCTGGACTAGGGAAAAAGAATACTATTCATCTAGTCTGTTCAGATATACACCTGCTACTTATGTAGTCTATACAGCATGGCTCTGTCAATACAATTCCATTTCCCTACTGCTTACCAAGTAATCTAAACTCAAAGTTCTCTATTGTGCAGTCCCAGCCTGTCCTGTGAACATTTACTGTGCATCCACAGTCCAGCCTAACTGGAATATGTACAATACTAAACACACAATGCACTTTCCTACTTCTAGACCACAGCTTATGTTGCAAACAAGAATGGCTTTCCCTTTAAGGAACATCTCCAATTGCCATAATCCTAACAATCCTTTCAAGCTCAGCTCAAATACCAGTTCCTTTCCCTAACTCCCCATCTTGTCCACAGCACTTTGTGTTTATCCTCCCATAGAACCCATCACATTAGGTGGACGCAGTCCTAGGGGCCTTACTACACCAGGAGTTCCCCCAGGACAGGAGCCGTATTGGTTTTTCAATTCCCTGACCTCACTCTCTTAATGGTAAATGCCGAGAATTGTTTGTGGAAATGATCTAAATTAACCTTAGAAGGAGGAATGCCAGTTATAATCTCTAACAAAAGCTCCTTTGATGCAATTTGGGTTGAAATAAAGTTTATATTTGTATGTTTATAAATATAAACAGATGTGCTCCACACTTAGAAAACTAAGGAGATGTTAACATCCAAAAATATAAAAGGCTGAAGGACAAACTTCAAGTGGTTTCATATTGGACAGAGAGGAAAGAAAAAGAAAATGATTTGCTCAATAGATTGGAAGGCCTGGAGAATCTATGACAATGGCCTCGGGTCCAGCAGCAGGAATGAGCTTTATCAAAATCATATTTCCTTATTTTTTGGGGGGGGAGGATTTCATTCCTTTTTATTGCTGAATAGTATTCCATTGTGTCTATATACCATATTTTCTTTTTTTTTAAGTTTTATTATTCACTTATTCACATATGCATACATTGTTTGAGTCATTTCTCCCCCCAGCCCCCCCTCCCTCACTCTCTCCCCACTTCCCGCCTCAGTTCCAGGCAGGTCCTGTTCTGTCTTTATCACTAGTTTTGTTGAAAAAAAGGGACAAGCCTAATAAGGAAGACAAAGTGTTTTTGCTAGTTGAGTTGAGGGTAGCTATACAGAAATATTCCTAGCATTGTTTTCATGTATATGTGTTATGACCCATGTTGATTCATCTCTAACTCAATGATCTTTACCCTGGTTACTGATCTTCTCATGATAACCTCTGTTACTTTAAGGTTTCTGTATTAGTCCCTCTGGAGTGGGAACATCAAATGCTTTCATGTTTTGGGTTTTCTACCTATTTCTATATTACCCATATGTGCTCTCCCCTTGTCATGTGGTCCCACTCCAACCACATTGCTTCATTTGCCCTAGATCTAAAGTCCACATATGAGGGAGAACATACGATTTTTGATCTGAGCTTGGCTGACATCGCTCAGAATGATGTTCTCTAGTTCCATCCATTTACCTGCAAATGATAAGATTTCATTCTTCTTCATGGCTGAGTAAAATTTCATTGTGTACAAGTACCACATTTTCTTGATCCACTCATCAACAGTGGGGCATCTTGGTTGTTTCCATAACTTGGCTATTGTGACCAGCACTGCAATAAACATGGGTGTGCAGGTGCCTCTGGAGTAACGTGTGTCGCATTCCTTTGGGTATATCCCCAGGAGTGGGATTGCTGGATGATATGGTAGGTCTATGTTTAGATTTTTAAGAAGCCTCCAAATTTTTTTTCCAGAGTGGCTGTACCAGCTTGCATTCGTACCAGCAGTGGATTAGCTATTCTAACAGGGGTGAGGTGGAATCTTAGTGTGGTTTTGATTTGCATTTCCTTTATGGCCAGAGATGGTGAGCTTTCATGTGCTTTTTTGCCACAAAATCATATTTCTAAAAATAATATTTCTTAGAAATTTAAGAAGGAAATTAATTATAACAAAAGAAAACTAATTTCAACTAATCTTTGTTATACTTTTAAGAAAGGTACACTAACAAAGCATTTCATACCTAAATGTCAAGGCATTCTGTTCTGCATGTATGATGTATCTGAATTTCCTTATTTCTCTGTCTTTCTGCTTGTCATCCATGTGTGGGAAGTCAGCATACTCAGATCCAACAGGAAAGGCATTATAGCCACCTCCTATGAAGTACATAGCGCCGGTTCCATCACAACTTTTCTACAAAAGTGAACAGACAACCATGGTGAGTCTCAGCATTCTGAAAAGGCACATGGCCATGTAGTTTTAAAGTTTGCTATCATACTTTATGTAAGAGTCATCCATTTTTATAACAAACTGAGTCATCAAAAAATATAGTATCAGATACTACTACTGCCAGTGTGGCCTTGTCAAAGCTTAATTCCAAGAAGGCTCATCAGCGCTCTAGGCTACAGTCTCAAGGCAGTCTTTGGTGTTAGCAGTTAATTAAATACTATCTTGTTTAACTCACAAATTGTTTTATTTGATTCTGACATTTCTCTCCAAATAGATTATATAATTCTGGAGAATGGAAACCATGTTCTACACTTCTTTTCTATTCCTTAATGTACATGTTTGATTGTTATGTACATAGCAAGTACTTAATAAGTCATGGTTCATTTCCTATATTCTGTGCTGAGTTACTGGTTAACAAGTCAGAAAATTTTAAACTATGTTAACTGACAATTTCTGTTGGGCCAAAAGTGTGCTGTTGTGCTTTATTTAGAAAAGAAAAAATGTAGTTTCCTTTAATCTTCAGCTTCTATTGTATGTACACATAATCACAAAGCTTCTTACTTCAGTGGTTTCTTATTTCTCTTGATCTATGGCATATCAGTTGTTAATATAAATACTTTATCCATTACTAGAATGACATTTTATCAATAAGTGTTTATAAAAGTTTGAAATATGTTATAAACCTTACTAAATTTAATCTATTATTTAATAAAAAATCAGTGTGTTACAAGTCAACAAAAGTTGGCAAATAAAATTATCTCACTAATAAATTCTTCTTGAGCATTTACCAAATGTCAAACATCATGCTAAGTTTCATGTCCATTTCATGTGTGTGTGAGTGTGTGTGTGCAAGTGTGAGTGTGTGTGTGTGTGTGTGTGTGTGTGTTGCTGGGGACCGAATTCAGGACCTTGAGGATGCTAGGCAAGGCTTTATCGCTGAGCTGTAGCCCCAGCCCTGTATATTTCATTGAAACAATCTAGAATAGTAGTACTATTGTCTCCATCTTATAGATAAGGAAACCGAGGCCAAAACAGATTAAATAACCGGTTTCAGGTCTCAGAGCTGTAAGTAACATAGCCTAGGTTGCTTGAGTCCACACTCATATATCTTTCTGCTTTACCGTGCAGCTACACTGGAGATAAATGGACTTAATTGTCCACAAAGCAGGTGAGAACCAGATGGTTAGCCAAAAGGCTACTGAGCGCTCTTATAAATCCAAATGAGAGTTCTAACCACACGCCAGGTTTGTGTGAGGTGCTGGCTACGGCAGTAACCACCACAGAGTCTTTGCCCTCATGAGCCTTACAATCTGGTGTGGGTAAGAGACTGGACACAACTTTAACTGCAATGAGTGTCACAAAGGAATTGTACAGAAATGCTATGGGACCTTTTGGCAGACAAGCCCATTCCAATAAGAGGTAACAGTTGGGGTAGAGACAAGCAGAGTCAAGAGGGATTTTGAAGGTGGACTCCATAGCATTACACTGCATGTTGGAGTACCAGGAAGGGAGATGGTGACAACTGGTGAAGGAGCAGTGTGGCAGGGGAGATACTGATTTATTGGTTATGTTGAACTTGAGGGGCTCATGAAACACTGAAGCAAACAGTTAAATTATTTGCTACCAAGTCAGATGAAGCAAAACAGGCTTATTTTCAGCTAGCTATGTAGTCACTGTATATTTCTTAATTTCTTGACCTCCTAACCCACCCCATAACTGTAAGTCCTCATTATCCCTTTTTACTAAGCAATCTCTCTAGTATTCTATCTTGCCCCACTTCATTCTCTTTATAGTGGAGATATGATCAGATCACCTACCACTTAAAAGATTCTTAGGCCACACTGTTGAATACAGTACCCACTGGTCATATGTGGGTAGTCTTAACTGAGAGGTGTTTTAAGTATAAAAAAAAGATATGCAGGATTTTGAAAACTTACTCTCAAGAGAAAATGCAGAATATTTTATTAGTAATTTTTATGTTGATCACATTAAAGTAATATTTTAGATATTGGATTGAATTGCATAAATATGTATATATTGCAATACTGGTGGATTGAACTCAGGGCCTAGTGTTTGCCTAGCAAACTTGAACTCTACCACTTGAACCACATCTCCAGCCCTTGTTTTGGTTTTTATTCATTTTTTTATCTTTTTTTTTTTTTTTTGGTATACTGGGGTTTTGAACTCAGGCTTCTCACTTGCAAAGCAGGTGCTGTACTGCTTGAGCCACACCCCCAGTCAATTTTGCTCTGGCTATTTTGGAGATAGAGTGTCACAAACTATTTGCCTGGGCTGACTTCAAACCTCAATCCTCCTAATTTCAGCCTACCAAGTAGCTAGGATTACAGATATGAGCCACTGGTGCCCAGCTTTTAGTCATTTTTAGTTGATACATAAAAACATAAAATTATACATATTTATATAGTGATATTTTGATTCATGTATACATTGTGTCATGTTTAAATCAGATTGAACATATCTACCTCTTCAAACATCTGTTATTTCTTTATGGTGAAAATATTCAAACTCCTTTTTTCTACCTTTTTGAAATATATAATAGAAGATCATTATCTGTAGTCACCTATTATGCAATAGCACACTGGAACTTCTCACTCTCCCATCACCATTCTACCCTTGACTTCTATCAGACAACTTTTCTACATCCCACATATGAGTGAAATCACACAGTACTTGGCTTTCTGTGCCTTCCTTCCTTCCTTCGGTTAACATAATGATTTCCAGTTCCATCCATGCTGTTGCAAATGACAGGATTTCATTCTTTTTATATACAATGTCCCACTATTTATAGACCACATTTTCTTTATCCACTCGTCAATTGATGGACACTTAGGTTGTTTGTAATAAAATATATTCTTAAACTTAATCCCCCTATTTCTTTTCTTCACCTATTTATTTTAATTTTCCTATTTTACTTTTTAAAAGTGGCACCTACAAAGTTTAGTTATGTGTACAGCTTGCCTTTAATTTCTACTGATTAGTGCTGTGCTGGGGTGGGCAATGTCTATTATTCTTCATGATCCAGTCCAATTTTTTGCCCATTCTACTAAACCAGGACTCTGGAACCCAACATGCAAATCACTTGCATTTTCCAACATTCTCCGTCTCTCATTCCTTACTTCTGCATGTTGTTCTTCTGGTCCTCCTAACTTGGTCTATCTAATGAACTCCCACTCATTCTTAAGACTCATAGCATGCTAACACCTCCGACAATATCTTACTCATTCCTCCAAGCAGAGTAAAGCTCCAGCTCTACATCGTCACACAGGATCAGTTATAATTACATTTATATGCCAGTCTGTCTCTCTCCCCCCTACCTTTTTTTTAAACTTCTCTATCTCCCTCATTAGCTATGAGGCCATGAAAGGCATAAAACATGATCTTTAAATCTCCACTGTTCACTGTGGTACAGTGCCTAATCAGTAAACAGTGTTTAATGTTTGCTCAGAGGATGAACCTATCTAGAAAATTGTTAAAGGAATTAGCAAAGCCAGGTGCCGGTGACTCACGCCTGTAATCCTAGTTACTCAGGAGGCAGAGATCAGGAGAATCGAGGTTTGAAGCCAGCCTGGGCAAATAGTTCCTTGAGATCGTATCTCAAAAAAACATCACCATCCACAGCTGGTGAAGTGGCTCAAGGTGTTGACCCTGAGTTCAAACTCTAGTACCAAAAAAAAAAAAAAAGGAACGAGCAAGTATTTATATAACTTTAAAAAAGTACCAATACAAAAATATTAATCTCAATGCGTAAATACAATATAATGCACTGCCAGATGCAGTGGTACATACCTGTAGTACCAGCTATTGGGAACCTGAGGTAGGAGGATCACTTGAGCCTTGGAGTTTGAGGCCAGCCTGGGCAACATAGTGAGACTCTGTCTCAAAAAACAAAACAATACAAAACAAAAATGCAATGCTGAGCCTGGTGGTATACAACTGTAATCCTAGCACTTGGGAGGCTGAAATAGGAGGATCAAGTTTGAAGCTAGCCAGTACTTACATAGAGACCCTGTCTCAAAAAAAGAAAAAGAAATCCAGGTTAAATATTTAAAGAATTATTTTCATACTTACAGATTTCCCTTCTGCCCAAATGACAGCTCCAACTCCTGTTTTATGATCCTCTGAAAGACATATGGTATTTAACTCAATTAAAAATCAATAATCTGTTAGTTTCATAAATACATTTTTCCAAAATAATAAAAACATTTATTGTAACATAATTCATAAATGCAGAAGTCCTTGACATCTTCACTATAGAAAAGTATAAGAGAAATATTTTTAAGAATGGAATATGAAAGTGAGGTACCAAATAAGCAGACATGGTCATTACCACCCAATTACACAAGATGTACACGTGGAGACCACTAAAATGGCAGTGGCCACTCAGATCTCTTCAAAGCTGTCACCAGAACCAAGCAGGACCTCATTGATTCTCCACTAGCAAGTTGGTTTTTAAATGGCAATTTCCTAGATGATGAAACTTAATAAAAAGGAAGTTTCTGAACTAATGGGCTTAGTGCAATAACCCTTTACAGCAATCAAACTTGTCTTCTAGCAATTTTGACACTCTAATTGCAGAAAATACATTTTTTTGTGGCACTGGGGTTTGAAATCAGGGCCTCATGCTTGCTAGGCAAGCACTCTTTACCACTTCAGCCACTCCACCAGCCCTGGAAAACACATTTTATGGAAATGTTCTTGCTAAGAAAAAAGTTCAAACTTCCAATACAAACACAAATCATTAATTGTCATATCTATCTATCTATCTATCTATCTATCTATCTATCTATCTATCTATCATCACTGAAAGGTACATAAGGGAATTTTAATTTTAAAAAATGTCCTTTCCTGGACCTTCCTAGTTTGCTGTGAAGGGAAAAAGAATGCCAAGTTAGCAACATCATGCTCACTTCCAAATCAAGTGGCAGAAGTTATAAACATAAGATCATAATTTCCTTGTAGAACCAAAACCTATTCAACAAGTAAAGCTATACTTCTTAAAAGCATTCATCTGAACAGAAAATTTTAAAAATAGTTTAAGAATCTACTTAAAGATCTGTTTTTCCTTCTAACATAAGGTGAGTTTCAAATTTCAAAGATGAGCACTAATTATGAAAACCATACTATTTATCAAAATCTTAACGAGGGACTAATGTACCTAAGAAGGTACCATGAACATAGAGAAAAAAAGAATTATCTGTGATTTTATCCTCAGGCATTGCATACTGTAGGGTACAACTTCATAAAAGCTAATTCTTCCAATGATAACATAAACGCCTACTTTTTCAGTAAGAGTACAGAGAAAATTTGTGTCACAATGGTATTAAAAGTGAGGATGCCTTATAAATAAGCTAATTTTGAAAAAATTGTGGTAATGCAATATTTCTCATTTTCATTTCAAGCACACTCAGGCTTTCAAAATTATACCACAAAGCATTTGTATAATTTATGTTAAGAACTTTTTATCCATGATCTCATTGTTACCTAAAGAAAAATGACTTGATTTCCATTTTCTAGATAAGAAAACAGGCAGAGAAATTAAGTGATTAAAATTTAGCCCTCTTTGACCTGGCCTACTTCACTTTCCTGTACCTCTCCCCTTGACATTAACAATTATGAAGCTAGATATGTTAGTGTACATCTGCAATCCCAGCACTCTGGAGGTGCAGCAGAAAGATTACGAGTCCCAGGCAAGAATGGGCTACGTAGCTATTTCAAGGCCACCCTGAGCTACATAGCAAGACCCTTGGTCTCCAAAAACCAAGGACTAGGAATATGACTCATTGGTAGAGTACATGCCTAGCATGCACAAGGCCCTGGGTTTGATCCCCAGCACCACATAATAATAAATAATTCCATAACAAAATTTTATACATATTGAGTGCCTTGTATTTGGCAAGTACTGTGAGAGGCCGACTGTTCAGTGGTGAGGGAAACATCAGTCCTCATCTTCATACAACTCACAGCTGGAGGGGGCAGGAGGACAGTGACAAGGAAACAAGTCACAGGTGCTGTGCTCTAACAGGGATGAACATGGACTACTGAGGGGCACAGTGCACACAGCAACGGGCTTCTATAGTGTGGAGGGAAAAAGATTTTGGTGTCAACAAAGTTTTGATCTTTACTAGACCAGCAGAATTTAACATGAGGGGAAAGAATATAAATCAATAGCTTGATGCTCACTTCTAAGACAAGTGACAGAAATCATAAACACAAGATTTACCTGCAGAACCTTTACTGTAAGTAAGGTTGTACTTAACACATGCATAAATCAGAAATGAAAAACTAAAATATAAATTCTCCATAGAGGTCACTTTTCCTACCACCAACCTGATTTTTCATAGTATGCTGTTTAGTCTCAGGAGCCACCTTTCTGATCCAGTCTGGGGGCAGACTAAACCTTCTCAGGAGGGGAAAAATGTGATTCTTCCATCATCATGCAGCTCTATTGCCTAGCAAAGATAAGCTACACCAGTGGAATGTTCTTTACTACCTGTCTTTTCAGATAGGGATAGGTTTTCATCCTGTCATATAAAATGGAGCCAATTTCACCCCCAGCCCCCAAAGCTGGTGACAGATGAAGTAATTTCTCAAAAATCTTTTTAACTCTGTAAAAAAAAATTTTTTTTTGAGACAAGATTTCACTATGTAGTCCAGGCTGGCCTTGATTTTGTGATCCTCCTTCAGCCTTGCAAGTGCTGGGATTACAGGTGTGCACCGTGTCTGTAATTCTTACAAAAATTTCTCCCTATGATATGGTTATTCACTGTTTTTTTTTCTTCTGTATACCTTTGAAGGAGAGGTCAATGTATGATCACTGAGCCAAATTCCTAGAGCACTTTGATCACTGAAAGTCAGAGGGCTATTTAGCCTATGTTTCTGGAACATAGGTGTGGCTCTGTGTCCTTTGGTCACATCAGTCTGTGTGTGCTCCACAGACCACTTGCATCAAAATTGCTGGAAGCTTGGTAGAAAGGCAAACTCCTGTCTCTTATGGACCCCACTTAATCAACCTTTCTGAGGGAGGCAGGCAGGGCTTAGGAATCTAGTATCTCAGAGTCCCAACTCTGATTCTCAGGCATGCTAAAACTTGAGAACTATTGAGTTATGACTTAAAAACTAACTTTTTAGGCAATGCTAGTTTACTTTCACCATTGATACTGTGGTCCAGAGGAAGGCATAATATCTAGCTTTGGAAAACAGATCATCTAATGGGAAAACAGGCCATAAAGTGATGACAACTTAATACTTAAGCTAGGTAGATAAGATGGGATGTCCTCTACTCCTCCCCTACCAAGTCTAAACACATTTTGTCTACTTCTAGGTATCCTAGTAACATACTTTTAACACCTCTATGGTGGTAAAAATCATTCAAAAATTATTAAACACCTTTCAATTCTAATTAGAACTGTTAGAATTTTTAGAATTCATTTTAACCGTGTGTGTGTACACATAAACACTTTTTTTTGAGATAGAGTTTCACTGTGCAGCCCAGAGTAGCTTCCAATTTACAGTCCTCTTGCCTCCTAAGTACTGGGATTAAAAGCATGTACCACCATTCCCAGCTTATACATATATGTGTCAATATAGTGGTTTAATAAAACCATTCTATTATTCATCTATGAATCAGGGAAAAATAAATTTGTCAAACCAAACTAAATTGTGTGAAATTAAAGCTTGAGTAATCAGAAGTACACTATACCATAGGAATATCCACCTGGCTGCTTGGACCCCCATGTTCAACAAGATACATACATAAGTGGCTTAGCCCAGTGGCTGACACATAGTAGGTGTTCCATAAATTGTCAGCATTATTTATCATCAGTGAAGAATTATCTGAATCCCTTGTATTGATGTTTTCTAACAGTTTGATACACTTATTTTGTGGCCAAACCTTACCCAAATTGTTATTCATGGCCCTTATTTTGGGGGGCATGTTAAAACTTTAATAAAGCCTCTGTAATTATAATAGCCTGGTTTAACAGAAATAGAGACCAATGGAAAGGACTGGAAATCCAGAAATGAACCCAAGTACAACGGTGAATTTTAAACATGATAATGATGACATCAAATTTGGGAGGGCTTAGGGAGTGTAATTTAGTACTAGAGCACTTGCCTAACATGTGAAAGGCCATGGGTTAGATCCCCAGCACTTGTAACAAAAAAAAAAGAAGAAGAAGAAGAAGAAGAAATTGTGGGGAGGTCTTAACTGTTCTCCTTAATATAAATGTTCATTTTACTCCGTATGTATTAATGTGTGACTACAGAATGCTGTCCCAGATGCCACCAGATGTGTAGCCATATATGTACTGAACTACTTTAAAAAAGTGTCTACACTGGATGTTACTTTTTTAAAATTTGAAAAATTCTGATTTCCCTTTCATCTGGCCCTAACAGTTTGGAGTTAAGGACCATTTATCCTGTGTATAAAAAGATTTCTTTTACCCATTGAACAATACACACTGTTTAGTACTAAGGAAAACTTGATAAATCAGTTTCTTCCCTGGAAGAGCTCACAGTGGAGTGGAATGCATGACAGCTGAGTTGCCTCCTGTTCAGGATTATCATGCCAGGCAAAACACCATCAAAAAAGTACCCTTGAAAAATCTTTACAATTGCCCACCAAGTGCATAAGCATGGTTTTGTGTACAAACTGCATAGTAATAGTGGATAAATTTACAGTACTCTAGAGTATCTAATAGTACTTATGCAAACTTATCTCCCTAAACCCTGGAATCACAGATGGTGAGATGATGTATTCTGTCAAGTAAAACAACAGCAGATTTGCATCGTTCATCTTACTCTGGAATGCAGGTAGGATTCTGCTGAATTATTAGTGAAGGAGAAATCGTGAACTATATATAACTGTAACAGCTGCTCCCATTTATGGGTCTGTTTTTCCAAAGTGTTTATAGAAAAATTCTTCACAAACCTGATGCTGGAAAAGAGACTAATAGAAAACCCATCTGAGGTAACTACACAAAATCAGACTGTTCTACAGTTGTTTGGGTCATATAGCTTATATTTACAGAATCAAATTCTTTAATAAGAATCGAGTGACTACCAACCCTGCTGAACATCAGAGTATCTTGCAAAGCTTTTTAAAAACCAGGCCTAGGCCTTACTTCGTTAGGGACTTGGTTGAATGGATCTGGGTGGGGGTCTAAGCATCTACACTTTGCATTAAGGTTTCCATGGTGATTTTGATATGCTGCTAGTTGATATCCTCCATTCTACTGAATTTACTTTGACCCGTGATCTTTTTAAAGAACATACTATAGACCAGTGGCACCTTTATGGACCTTTTCTGATTTTTCTTCCCCTCTTTACTGGGATAATTCAAAAATTCCTACTATAGTTTACTCCCCAAATAAATATTACTCCACTTCTCCCCCATCTGCATTTTCCCCACTTATTTCAAAGTTGAATTTCAAAGTGACCATGATTTTACTTTGAAAAATATTACATCTCAAGGGCTGGGTGTGGGTGATGCATAGCTATAATCCCAGTTACCTGAGAGGCAGATATAGGAGGACTGCACTTTGAGGTCAGCCAGGGCAAAAAGTAAGACCCTATCTCAAAAGCTAGTTGAGGGGGCTGGAGGTATGGCTGAAGTTGGTAGAAGCAACCGTGCCTTCAACAAAGATGTGAAGCCTGAGTTCAAACCTCAGTCCCTACACAACACCACCACAATCTTCCATCTGGTGAAGATTTGTGCAAAAAATACTGTCCCATACGGAATATAGAGATGCTGATTATACAAATAAAGAATATTCCCAGGTAGCATTTTCCTTTTTCACACACACAACTTAATATGACAAAGTAAAAATGCATGATTTTCTTCATATGAGCAATTAGAAGAATATGCAATAACTAACATTCCTTTATCTTGTTATTTTGACTTTATATTTTTAATTTTACAGATTTCTTTTAAAAAGTTTTTATTAAATACTGGGTACATATGAAATATTGTAGCTAATAAAAATGTTTTCTCTCCTTTTTTCTTTTTGTCCCATCTTCAGTGCAGGGATCAATGAACAGTAAAATCATAAATGCAAGAAGCAGAAAGAAGGAATCATTAGGTCATCTAGTTCTGATTTATATGTGTAGTGCTGGGTATAAAGCCACAAGGAATCCCAAACTGCTCACAGAAAGAGATGTCTACACACAGGTCTCACTAACTTCTCTACACTACATGAATGCCAAACTTTTTATCTAAGAGTAAATGAACTCTATTATAGATAAGATGAACAAATACAACCCAATTATCCCAAATTTATGAACTAAGCATTACTCACCAGTTCGATATGCCAATAACCTGGCCTGAACCATGCAGTGCCCACTTGCAATTTCTTGTGGCAAGCTTTGATTGTGAATTTCATTAATCTGTTCTGGACTGCTACAGTAGAATCCGAAGTGTTTAAAGTTGGGCACACTGGAAGCTACTGTGGCCAAAAGTAGGATAAGGTCTTTCATGTTTTGTCTTAGATTGCTAAAGTATGGGTTTTCACACAGGTTCTCCAAACCTATAGTCATCAGTATTTGCTTATGCATTTCTTCATTTGAAACCAAAAATACAATTTCATATTCTTTTATTCTTTCTTGTTTACATTCAGAATAAAAGTCAACATTAGCATCCGGCACTGTTTTTGCAATTTTTTGAATAAAGTCACATTTGTAAGAGGTCTCCTCTACAAACTGCACCATACAACACACCAAAGGCTGTAGTAAGACACACACATGGGCCCGACTGTTTGATTTCAATCTTTCCACTGCTTTGGCATCTAATTTTGCATCTTCAGAACTAGAAGCCTCGGTAAGCAAACTTATTTCTGGATCAGCAGGCCAGTATGAAATTCGGTTAACTCCAGCTGAAATACAAAAAGACAAAAGATAATTACCTGCTACATGAACTTGGAGTTTTTGTGATAAATCTACTCTACAATTGCATAGAACATGAGGACCCCATATAATAAATGTCTACTACTGTGTCACTTATACAATCTTAATTACCCAAAGACCAAATCTGGTCCATTACCAGTTTTTGTACAACTTGCAAGTTAAATATGGGTTTTACATTTTTAAATGATTGGAAAAATCAAAAGAATATTTCATAACACATGAAATTATGAGAAGTTCAAACTTCAGTGTCCACAAAGTTTTATTGGAACATTTCCCCATTCATTTAGTCTTTGGCTGCCTTTGCATGGCAGAGTTGAGCAGCTGCAACAGAAATCATATGGCCTCCAAGGAAAAGGCCTCTGCTGGGAAGGCATTTGTGGGACTGCTGGTTTTGCTAAGTGTGGTCCTCAAGTTCAGCACTGGGACTGTGTAGGAGTCCTTCATGGTCCCATGGCTGCTTGTAGAAATGCTACAGCCAATACTTGATAAGGTCTAGAGTTTTGTATCTGGAATAAACAATTCATCTATGCATTTTAGAATGTTCCTGTCTCTTAAAATTCTTCTGGAAAGCTATTCTAACAAAATATTCTAAAGAGAGCTGGGCTCCAATGGCTCAGGCCTGTAATCCTAACTACTCAGGAGGCAGAGATCAGAAGGATTATGGTTTGAAGTCAACTGGGGTAAATAGTTCACAAGATCCTATCTTGAAAAAAACCTTCACAAAAGTGTGCTGACGGAGTGGCTCAAGGTGTAGACCCCGAGTTCAAACCCCGTTACCACAAAAAAAAAAAAAATCTAAAGAGAAAAGAGAAGAAAAAATGTCATGTATACTTGTTTAGGGCAGCATTCCTTAAAATATTAAAAAAGTTTTTCTGGCTATACTGGGGTTTGAACTCAGGGCCTCACACTTGTTAGGCAGGAGCTCTACCATTTGACCCATTCCACAGCTCTGTTTTGGGTTGGGTATTTTTTGAGATAGAGTCTCACGAACTATTTACCCAGGCTGGCTTCAAACCACGATCCTCCTGATCTCTGCCTCCCAAGTAGGTAGGATTACAGGCATGAGCCACTGGCACCTGGCTTTAAAAATGTTTTTTTTTAAAAACCCTACATGACCAACATAGGAAAACAGCTAAACCTATTGTGGTACTCCTCATAGTTACCAAAACTATCCACAAAGAATGTATAACATAGAAAGATTCTTAGGTGATTCTGGAGTGCTGCTGGTGAAGCAGTATGAATTTCTTAAAGCCCACAACATTGAAAACAACAAACCAAAGAGAACATTTTTTTAATCAATGTGACACAGGAAAGGCTAGTAAGCTTTAATATACAGAAATGATCTTAATTCATTAAGAATATCTATGAACTGACAAGACGAAAAGGCCTCAAGAGAGACAAAAAGATATGAACAATTTACAAAAGAGAAAACATAATTGGATAACAAACATGAAAAAAGTATTTTAATTTGTATTTCAGAATGAACAATGAAGTTGCCTTATTCATCAACACACAAATGTTTGCCAATTAATGACCACTTTACAATAGAGACCTTTTGCTAGCTTGCAACTCAATCATGAAAGCAGTTTTCCTTAAGCAACTTAGATTTGTAATGACAGTGTTTTGTAACCATCTCTCTTTCTTCACACTGAATAGTAAAAAGATGTTCACTCTAGGATAAAGATTTAATGAAATTAATGATTTTTACTGTTTCACCAAGGATATTCTTATGTGAAACTGCATTTTTTTTAAAAACTCAGAGTGTCTGAAAAGTACAACAGCTACTAGTACAGTCTGGCACTACTGCCTTGCTTCAGGCTGTAACACCTGTGTAGCCAAACCACTTACCATTGATGTGGTACCATTAGTGTGGATGAAAATATTGTTGATGTGGGGATCATCAGGAGCCACACTTTGAGAACCACTGAACCTAGTACATGTTTGCTTCAATTTAACTGAGTGATTGTAACTAAAGTAATTCAGCTATAGCATGGGTTCAACCTTACTCAAGATAACCAAATAGGTATCTTAATCTAACAGAACAATTATCTTTATATATTGCTTCCTTCTGTTTACCAACACCTGTGCTAGGCTATTCTAGGGGGATGCCCGTATATTAAGCCACTGAAATTCTGGAATTTCTTTTAGCATCATCCTGTAATTCACTGAGTATCAGTTAGCTGATGAGTAGATAAGTGCTGAAAGCAAAATCCATGTTTTCTGACTCTTCCTCTTACATGGTGGAAAACAGTATCAACATAAACATATATCCACTGTAGGTCCTTCCTGGTTTTCTACTTTTCATTCTCCCTCTTGTCAAGTGGAAATGGCATAAACATCAAGCACAGTGAGTCACCTGCACTCCCCACCCTTCTAATTTTTGGCTCTGAGGCAATTACGGAGCTTTCAACACAAGCAGCTCAGCACAAAACACAACGATCTTTTATTCATTCTTCCCCCTTGACTGTAGAACAGATCAGTCAACAAATGTTTTGATTCTTTCACATTCTTTCTTTCCTATATCAGTGTCACTACCTGAACCCTATTTTATAGCTTGTCTAATCCAATAGTCTACTAAGAAAGCTTCTAATCTTTCATTTCTCCCTGTTCAAATTTAATAACAATAAAAATAATTATAGTCATGTTGCATCATGCTCAAAAATCTTCAGTGGATCCACATTACATGCATCAGGAATTATAAGCCAACTGAATACCAGTGATAATGTCCAATATGCCTGGTGAACTGGCAAAAGGAGAAAGCATGCCAGCAACATTTTGATACTTATTTTCTCCTCTGGGAAAATAAGAGACAACAGAACTAAGTCACTCTCACAGAAACCTATCTGCTTGATATACCTGTCACAGACCAGGAGGCTCTAGTCACATGACCATTTCTCCCTTGAAGTACTTCCCCATGTAGCTTAACACAGATCTGATCAGTGCTTGTGAGCTTAGATATAAAAATATAGCTCTTCCACAAATCAGGTCCTAGGAACTCTGGTGAAGATAAAGCCAAAGCCCCAATCCATCATGATAATTCATCTTCCACCACTTCCCAAGAATAATCTTCCATTGCAAATACTGAACCTCACTTCTTACATCTTGATGACTCTATCTGTGCTGCTACCCCCGACTAGCAATGCATTCCCCCCCCACCCCCCCGCTATAGCTGATCCATCACAACATAGCTCAGCTCCAGTCTTTCATAGCATGCCACCCTGCAGGGATCACTGCTTCTTCTGAGATCATGCAGCACTTTCAGCCTGTACCACTCATTTGGTACTAGATCATGTGCTACATTAAATTGTTATTTTGACCCCCAAATAACACCTTGAGGGAAAGAATCTGGGAAAGAAATATATTAGGTTTTTGTCTTTGTGTGTGTGTGTGTGTTTTATGTGTGTGGTGGCACCACAATGCCCATGTACAAGGTAACATATTAACATTTTTTTTTTAAATGACAGAATGGTCTATCCATTTACCTGGGTGCAAAATATAATCTAAGCACAGACAGGCTTAGTTGAGTGCCCTGGTCTGACAGAGGTGGATAGTTCCACATTAAAAATCTGTGCTCCTCCTTCCAAAGTGTACAGTAGCCATTGGGGGAGAGCCTACAGATCCCACATAGAAATGAGCAAAAATGATGCATGTGACTTCTAGGTCTTTGGTTGTTTTCAGCGTTGGGGATTGAACATGCTAGGCATGTGTACTACCACTGAGCTACATTGTAGTCTCCCAGACCAGGGTTTTTAAGAAGTGGGTATGCCTCCTCCACTTTCTCTTTCTCAGTCTGCCTCTGGATGCAGAAGACTCGAGCAAGGCCCCGGGATGACAACAGCAATAAGGATGGATACCGAGTCCTGTGACTCAATTACATGGAGTAAAGCTGCCTGCTGTTCAGCAACATCTGTGGTAGGGCATTCTAGGGGAGATATGTATATTAAACTACTGAAATTATGGGTTTCTTTTAGCATCAGTCTATAATTTACTAAGTGTCAGTTAGCTGGAGCGTGGATAGAGCTGAGATCAGAACACGTTTTCTGATTCTTCCTCTTACATTGTGGAAAACAGTCTTCAAACATGTACTAATATTTTCACATCATTTTTGTGGTATTTAGGCAATTTGTTCCTCCATTTGCTCTCAGATAAATGTTTTTAACTTCTCCCCAAATTCTTATCTGCACTTACCATTTACAATCATTTTCAAACAAGCAGAACATGGTTTTCTGGAAAAATAAAGATCACAGTTTTTCAGCCTCGACCCATGTTTAATAAGAGCAATTTGCCCAGCATGTAACTCTTCACTAGAACAATGGAGACCAACAATTTTCATGTTTTCCACCACCACAAGACCAGTTTTCTTCACCTACATTAAGATACAAAATAGTAAGTTAGCAATTATAATACCCCACAGCCACATACATTAATAAAATGAAAGCTTTGTTTAGGTCATGTCTGAATATAGTTTGCACAAAAGTAGAATTCTCATTAGGTCCAAAAGAACTTCTGAAAGTTTTCTGTTGACTTTAGATGAGAAAATTTCAAAACCAAGGCTCTGCTAATCAATTAAATGTGTAGTTATTATTGCTTTGTTTTAGTGAAAAATAAATGCATTTTAACCCAGTAAAGGCAAGAACCAAGTAAGTTTGATTTGTTTCTTATAGCATCCAATCTTAGTAGTAACTCTCAAAATGGCAAAAAGGAAAAAATTGGAAATTCCCCAGATTTTATATATAGCTAAATCATATATAAAATATGGCCCATATATAAAATAATATATGGCCCAGAGGCTTGATACACAAATGATGAAAAGCAGAACTAAAGCAGAGGTCATCCTAAAATCCTAAAATTTATGCAGCCTAGGCTGGCCTCAAACTTGAGATCCTCTTCCCTCACCTTCTTGAGTGTTGAGATTGTAGGTGTGTACCACCACACCTGGCTTTAAAATATTTTAAATATTAGCCAGGCACTGATAGCTCAGGCTTGTAATCCTAGCTACTCATGAGGCAGAGATTAGGAGGATAAAAGTTCCAGGCCAGCCCAGGCAAAATGAAAGTGCTGGCAGAGTGGTTCAAGTGGTAGAATGCCTATTTAGCAAGCATAAAGCCCTGAGTTCAAACCCCAGTACAGTAAAATTTAAATATTGATTAAAATGAAGAGTATTCTCAGCATCTTTCTAAATACTGGGTATACAATTTTCAGCATTATGGCAGTACAGACTAATGTAGCTGGGACCGGCAGTGAGCTCCTGTACAGAATTCCAGGCGGTACTAGGCTGTTTAATCTGCAGGCTGGACACTGGCAGGGATTCTAAAAAATTCTAAAGGACCTCTTTGGGTGAAGCATTTCTGTTACTTTGAACCTAAACTGTCCTGACTTATAAAAATACTAATTAAAAAGAGCTGGCACAATAGTAATATAAATAAAACAGACTAAGGTAAAAAAAAATCAGTTGTACATCAGGCACAAAATAGTGTACACTGTTTTCACAGCAAGACTTCAAGGTAAGGAATGTAAACTTGACCATTGGGTTAGGGACTGGAGCTAGGGCATGAGGGAAACGGGCTGAGGATAGGGTATCCCTTATTTCTTACCCAAGATCAGACCAAAGCTCTGTGAACACTGTCAAGTTTCAGTTCAGTTATGAGTATAAACGGTTGAAACTACGGAGAAAGATACTTTGTGAAATGCCTGAAAAGAGGAAATAGAGATTTCACGGAATTTCCTTTCTGAGTTAACCAAGCATGTCCTAAACTATAAAGACATTTAAAAGGAATACAAAAATCTTTCTCTTACCAAAATATATCTAAGACTATATGGAAATATATCTAGAATATGAAAAATTGGCCTTTAAAATAAGCTTCAAATTTACCCTGAAGGTGTGATCCCTTTCCCATTTTAGAATTTTACGTTCCTTGAATACAAAATATACATTATTATCATCCATTTCTGAAAACTTACAGGAAATTTGTTTAAAAAACTGGTCATTTTGGAAAACAACCAATGATACCATATCAAAACATCTTAGCTAAGGGTAAAACAGTTTCTGCTTGGAATCGAGGGGATGGGGGGAAGAGGGAGGGAGCGGGAGGAAAAGGGGGAGGGGGGAGAAATGACCCAAACATTGTATGTATATATGAATAAAAGATATATTTAAAAAAAAAAAAAGAATTTGGCAAGAAAAAAAAAATCTCAGCATCAGAGCCCACTTTGTAAAATGAACTAACCAACTAACCTGAGCAGCTAAAGTAGCTTCAAATGAACTGAATGCTGTTGACTTTTTTTATTTATTTCATTTAATTAATTAATTAATCAATTTGTGGTACTCGTGCTTGATCTCCGGGCCTACACCTTGAGCCTCTTCACCAGCCCTTTTTTTGTGATGGGTTTTTTGGGGCTGGCTTCAAACTGAGATCCTCCTGATCTCTGCCTCCTGAGTAGCTAGCATTACGGGAGTGAGCCACTGCTGCCTGGCTGATGTTGATTTCAGATTGTCAAGTAGTTAAGCAGACAGAAATAAAGCCAGAAACCCCACGTACAGGACTTTCTAAAAATTGCTTGTAAGACCTTAGGAGCATGACTACTCCTCACTTTATTTTTTTATGAAACAATCTTTCAGGTCAGGTTTGTTACTTTGTGTCCAGAGTCCTTTTTGCTTCAGAAAATATATATGTATATTTCTCATTTTGCTTCTAGCTAAAGCCAAAATATCAAGTTTGAGACAATGGTTTTTCCATCCCAAACTTAAAACAAACAAAAGCCTGAGTTGCATTCCATGTTGGTACTTCCACTTACTGCAACTCCCAGAAGACTGAATCTTTTTAGTGAATCACTTTTCTGGATCTCGATTTTGGTTGACTTCACTAACATCTTGGAAAGTAACTATGTAATCCTAGTCACAGAGTTTTACACTAAATGTCTGTTTTGTACATGAACTAGTACATTTACTTAAATAGTGATTCAATATTTTTTCCTTTTGTGGTTCTTATAATGAAAACAGTTAAAAAACCTGAGGCAAATTATTTTTATATTCTTATTGGGCATTTTAGAAACTCACTCTTGGAACTAATCAGAAAAATCTCATCAGAAATGTACATCAGAATCATCTGGGTAACTGTTTACTCTCTACTCCACACCCAATGAATCATAATCTTTGGAAAACTAAAAAGATAAAAATAACAAGGAAATACTATGTATTATTACAAAGAACAAAGTTCATCTTTCAGGTCTGACTTTTGATTTTACCTTACTTACAAACTAATATGTTAACCTGTTACTGTTTCATGGATACTAGCAGAAAGTATGAAACTCCTAGGTCAGAGACAAAAGACCTTATTATTCACAGCACAGCAGTATGACCATCAGGTATGTGATGGCTCCTGGTCCTCAAGTCCCAAGGGAAGTAATGCAGCTGGGCCCACAAAATTGCCTGGACTCACAGTGGGTTGTGTTATAGGACAGGAACACCAAGCTTGGGAATCCTGGTGTTTCATGGCAAACAGCCAACCTGCTCTTTGTCCCAAAGGTCCTCAAGGTTCTTTGCTACAAACACAACACTGAGAAATGGCCCAGTAGAGGCAGTGATGGGGTTGCTAGTGAAATGATGGGGGGCGGGGAGTGATTGTAAAGGTTATAGTTAAAGGAGTGGAAACAAGACCGTTAAGTCAACTAAGTGGGTACCATATTGTAGGCTGGAAATTTTCTTATTTAATCCTCAAAACTTTATAAAGCAGCTATTTAGGAAACTGTGGCTGAGAATATATAAATCAACCACAGTCACACAGAAAACGAATGTATAAGCCAGGATCTAGCCCAAAATCCACAGTGTCAGCCATATGCTACACTGCTTCTGTTCTGGAACAGTACAGTGAGGCACTTTAGTATAAAAATAAGGTAACAGAAGCCACAATGGGAAGAGTTGGGAGAGGGACAATATGATGTGAGGAGAGAAAAACGATGGAGCAGTGCAATTATTCTAGTTCTCATGCTTAAGGTAACAGGTAATTTAGATAAGTCTAACTTCAACTAAAATGAAGACCTATGAACCAGTAGGGGAGATATTATTTTTAAATGTTAGTCATTCTCATAGTGCTTGATTTCTACTCCAAAAGTTTTAATTATGCCCCCATAAGTCTCATAAGCAATTACTTTCTCTTCCACTCACTTATTTAGTTTTGGACTAGACTCAGAAAAAGTTTTCATTGCTGAACAGTCTTTAATGAGTACCCAAACGGTATAAAGATTTGATAGCATAGAAAAACTAAGACAGCAATTATATTTGGAAGTGGTTATAAGATAATAATACACTAAAGCTTGCAAAATAACAATTTAAATAACCAGTAATAAGAGGATAGATAGGCCTGTCAATACAACTATCATACAATTTATAAAAGTTATAAAAAGTGTAAAGTATATAGCATATGCCAGGCACTAAGAGCTTTACAAATATTAGTTTATTCATTGCTCACAAAACCCCATGAAATGGGCTAGGACTGTAGCTCAGTGTGGTAGGGGGTTTGCCTAGCATGTGTGAGGACCTGGATTTGATTCCCACCACCCAGAAAACAAAACAAAACAAAACAAAACAAAAACTACCAGGTAGTATATACTAGTAATATTCTATTTTATAGATAAGGAAACTGACTCAGAGAAGTAACTTACTCGAAATTATACAACTAATAAGAGGCAGAGCCAAATTTTGAACCTAGGTGGCTGAGTACAAAACCACTGGTTACTCTTAAAACACTAAGCCAAATTTCTGCCCCAATGTTTATAACATTATAGCATATGTGTTTTTTACGTTAAGTGGAAAGGATAGGACCCAGAATTAAATGGTCTCAAATGAGTAAAGGAAATAGAGAAAAAAAAAAAAGATGAGAAATAATAATAATAATAAAGAAATGTCAGTAGTATATAGGAAGTACGATTATGAGGAACTTTTTTTCTTCTGCTTATTTTATAAATAATAGCATATATTACTCTGGTAACTCATAAAAACACTTTAAAAGGATAAAAGGCTGATAAAAGTGTCAAAAACAGTATTTCTAATACACATATCAAATTGCATCTTGTAGTTTCTGTGACTCACTTTGTATAGCAAAAGCAGAATAAAGAATTTAAGTGAGGGCTAGGGAAGAAGTTCAGTCGTAAAGTACTTGTCTAGCATGCTCGAGGCCCTGGTTTTCATTCCCAGCATATAAGAAAACAAAACGACTAAAAAAATTAAGTGAAACAATCTTATTAAAGAATATTTTTTCTCTTAATAGATCTTAACCCTATGAAGACTATGTGTAATAAAATTAGAAAATTATAACACAGTAAATGGTAAAGAAATATTAATGGTAAAGAAAAACTGGGTATCATTTTAAGGAATTTATTTTATAGTACAAACATAATAGCAACATGTTTAACACACGAACTTCATGTGTGTTCCTAATGTATAATTAAAAGTTATTAACACACAAACTCTATAGCAGTACAACAATGTCAAATACAAGTGTATTCCTGCTATGATCACAACACCTGCAAAACTTTATATGTATATTAGTATAAAAAGGGAGCCAAGGAGATAAAAAGCATAACAGTATGATTTCTTTTATGCTGCAGAGATAGAATATTAAGTCTTCAGTTTCAATGATAACATTTGTACAATAACAAGGTAAAAGGGAGTACAATATGCTCTCTTCACTTTGTGTTCCTCTCCCCACACTACCATTGGTCTTGCTTCTTTGCAAGGGTCATGAGATCAGAGCTAATGAAATTACTATACACCTGTGCTTTACTGACACTAGGTATGTAAGTAGGTGACAACCACAGGTGATGATGTTTTAAATATTTGGCCAATTTGTCTTTCTGGAATTTAAAATGCGTTTTCCATATGAATAATATTAAAAATTATAGTCAAGTTCTCAAGCTAACATAGAACAGCCTATTCAACCTGAAAGATCACTGCTAGAGTAATCTTGAGTATGCCCCAGTTCAAGCATCTGTGAGTTCCAAGGCCTGTAAGTAAGAAACTCAAGTGAAGGCCTAGGGCTTGTCACCGTGATACTGAGAGCTGAGTGAAGAAGCACAGCTGGGAAGGCACTAATTCAGGGACAGAAGCAGGGCAAGCTTGGAAAGTAAGAGAGGTAACCTTTTCTATGTCCAAGTCAACCCTATTTCCAGGTTGGCTGGCATTCCAAAAACATGGATTTTGTTTCACTTTGATGATCTTTACACTCATTTCTATGTCTGTCCTAACTTTTAATTTGAAAGACTGAAATGGATACAAGTATGAGTCAGACTTCTAAACAAAGTTCCAAATAAAATATTTAAAACCAAACCAATTTCTTTCATTTAAAAAAAACTTGTGCTAGGCATAATACCTGTAATCCCAGCTACTCCAGAGGCGGGAGATTGGGAGGATTGCAGTCTAAGGCCAGCCAGGGCAAAAATTTAGCAATATCTCACATCAACTATCAAGCAGGGGCTGGTTGTGTGCACCTGTCATCCCAGCTACCTGGAAGGTGTGACTAAGATCTTGGTCCAGGCCAGCATGGCCAAAAAAGAGCAAGACCTATTTGAAAAATAGCTAAATTAAAAAGGACTGGGGTGTGGTTCAAGTGGTAGTGCATCTGCCTACCAGAAACAAGGTCCTGAGACATGGAGACACAAACATGATGATCCTTTGTTAAACAACATACAAAGTTGTGTAAAGTCTTGTTAATAATAAAGTTTTATAAATCTTAAATTTACTTAGACTATCTTTAATCAAAATGTTAACTGAAAGCTTTATCTCAGTTATTTTCTCAGGACTCACAGTTTTCTCTATAAAGTGTAAGGAAACAGTAGAGTGTGTGTTATATGCAACAAACCACAGCAATTAGTTGGCCAATAACTTCCTAACAGAAACTTAAATATCATTATTTGTTAATTAAATATAATTTGTCCTAGTCTGTCAAAAAAAAAAACATTTTCAGTCCAGGATATATTTTAGGGTGTGTGTATATATGTGTAAATACAATTAAAATGAGATCAAATCTGGACATTAAAAAAAAAAGCTTCAAAATTAATATTTAATTTCTAACAAGGCCTGGGCTACTGCTTAAGCTACACTACCAACCCCCACATTTAAACTATACATTTTAAAGCCTTAAATCTGTAAACATTTGCTTGTTATTTGGCTCCTTATAACAAATTAATCTGCAAAGCAAACGAAAAACACTAAACAAAAAAACCCAACCCAACAGTATGGGCATATTCTACTTTCATAAAATAATATTAAGCTATTAACAAGTAGAAAGAATAAAGAAACTTCAAAACTTGTGAAGGAAATGTAAAGCTTTCTCAAAATCAATAATAAATGTGGAGCCACATGTGAGAAAAAAGAAATAACAATGTATAACTTCCCCCCCTCCCCCAATTGGGGTTTAAACTCAGGCTCACTTGCTGGACAGGTGTTCTACCACTAGAGCCACATTCTAGCTCTTTTTGGTTTTAGTGATTTTTCAAATAAGGTCTTAAGTTTTTGCCCAGGCTTGCCTAGACCTTGGTTCTCCTACCTATGCATCCTGCATACTGCAATAACAGCTCAACACTATCATACTCAGCTTATTGGTTGAAACGATATCTTATTAAGTTTTTGTTCAGGCTGACCTCAAACTGTGATTCTCCTGATCTCTGCCTTCTGAGTAGCTGGGATTACAAATGTGAGCCACAACAACCAGCCACATTTTTAAAAAATGTCTTACTATTTATAAACCATTTCACATGGAAACTGGGGAACAGCACTACTCCAACAGGTACCATGTTATCATGAGATAAATTCCCTCACTTCTTGCTAAAATTCCTAAATGCAATGCTGATACTAACAGGATAAAATCTAAACTCCTTTGCAAGGCATGCAACGTTTTTATGACATGATTTCTCTCTACCATTCCAAGTTCATTTCTAGTCTCAGCTTTCTACCCAACTCTCCCAAGTTTGAGGACCACAAATTCTCTCACTCCTCTAAATTTATTAATATGCTATCTTTTTGGCTTAGGCAAATACTTACTCATCCTTAAGTCTCAGTGCAAATCCTACCTTCCCTGGGAATATTTTCTTCATTCCCCATGTAGAACCTGACCCTCAGCCTTTTTAGCATCTCTGCTTGGGGGGTTGGGACTGGGGTTTCAACTCAGGGTTTCACACTTGCAAAGCAGGCACTCAACCATTTGAGCCACACTCTAGTCATTTTGCTTTGGTTATTTTGGAGATGGGGTCTCATGAACTACTTACCAGGGTTAGCAATGAACCTTGTTCCTCCAAATCTCGGCCTCCCAAGTGGCTATGATAAGAGGCATGAGCCATCAGCACCTGGCTTAATTGTATCTTAATTTATTAAATGGCTAGTTTTCCTCCCCATTAGAAAATAAAGACTATATGTTTTCTTCTTTGTAACTCCTGCACCAACCACACAACCTCAGCCACAGTAAGGCAGGCACCCAAAACAAAAAGTAAAAAGAAGGGTAGTCATGAATGGCCTCCTAAGAGTAAGGTGGGAATTTAAGCATTTACAGTCTTTCTGGGAAAAAAAAAATCTAAAGCAACCATTCAGTAGAATCATTGTTAAATTGGAAACCTCACTGCACAATTTTATAACAGTAAAAAAAAAATCTTAAAAACAAATCTTCACTTGGGAGGCAGATGCAGGAGAATTGGAAGGATAGTATCAAAGGGTTAACAATGATGTTGTTAGAATGGTGAGAAGCCACTGGGAAATCTCTCTTCCCTTTCAGCTATTTTCGAAAATCTCTTAAATGCTTAACCTAACACTACTTGCTATAATATGACCTTGAACACCTGTAAAATTAATGACAACACTCTTAGACCTCTCAAATTATCAAATCCAAATGGTGACAGCCTATCATCATGCCACTCCAAACATGGAGGGAAATGATGAGAACTAGCATCTTGTTGCCCAAGGGCAGAAGAAAAGATGTAAGATGCTCACACTTCCAACATATTGCTTTTATGATTATTCTTATTGTACATTCCTAATCTGCTTCCATCATCTTTTGAGATTAAAAAAATACACTTTTATAGAAAAACAAGCCAATTTGCGTTACTAGGTTAACCATTAAAATGGTAGGTCTGAAAGCAGACAAGAAGACATGTTGTGTATCTTCAAGTAGTTTACAGTTCTGTGGGAGAAGGAAAACTATCTAGATAAAACACAAACGTTATAAAACTTGGTGATAAACTATTTGGTATAGACAATAATCTTACTGACTAACCTACATATAAGTACCATTAACTATTTTATTTTTAGATTGGAAAGATAAGTCACTATGCTGTGAGTTACACGTATCACACCAAACCATATAGGTTATTTCTCAAATCTTAAGACTTACTGAGTTTGGTTTTTAAGTGTGACTGCAACTGAAGCAACGAAACTCATATGTCAGAACATTTTCTAAAGGCATAAGTTATTTACGGAAGCAAATTATACCTGAGATTTTTGCCTTTGGACTTCTACTCTTGGGAAGAGCTCCATCCAGAGACTGAGCAGCGTGAAAAGGTTGACTTTAGAAAGCCTTGGTATTTGACCTACAAAAAAGAGGGCAAGCACTTCAGACGTTTCCTAACGCTGAAAAAACGAACTAACCTCAAAGTTAGTTGGGTGCTGAAGCCTTAGTAGGAGGCAGAGAAAATGTAAGATTATTAGGTAAGAGAATCAGTTTTTTGTTGTTGTTTTTTTTTAAGCAGGAGACGCTACGACTTCACTTTTCAACGGCTCTGTTTGCAGTGACCTTCTGAGAGTCTTTCCAAAGTTGGGCCCTTTTCCTTCGGCCTCACCCGGCAAAATAATAACAACACGTAGCTATAGGAACAACCCAAAGAAAGTTAAAGTCCTTGTTTCTGACGTTGTCATAGAGCAAGCTTTTCTTTGGACTTGTAAAGCGGCATTACCACAAAGGCAAGGCTTAGAACATGACACTAAAAATGCAGTGACCTTCAACAGCCAAGCAGTGGACGTGTAATTTGGAAATCAAGGCAGAAGTGCGATTTGGAGGACTGTCAGACTCTCAGCCCCCGAGATCCCAGCGTTGGGTCCTGGGACCTAGACCACAGGGCGCCATCTCAAAAGCCCGAGCGGCCGAGCCGGGACGGGCCCTGGGCTGGGATGACACATCCTGGAGCAGCCGCAAGCAATGAGCGGAAGGCAGGGAGCCCAGGGGACAACAGCGGAGGAAGCACATGGCAGAGCGAAAGGTGGGGTGGCGGAAGCAGGGTCCCAGCACTCACCTGTCATGCTGCCCGTCTGGGTGCTGACTGATCGCCCTGCCCCCGCGCTCTCCAGATTTTGCATTTGCCCTGCTTCTTTCATCCCAAGCCTAGTGGCCTCTGCTGCTCAGGAAATCTCTCCCTGTCAGGCATGATCCTGACCCAGACGCTCCGGTCTAGCCTCCGCCCAGCAGCTGATAAGCTGCAGCCAGCTTCGCGCAAACAGATGACGTCTCAAGCGCGACTACCACTTCCGGGTGCCTACGGTGACGTCAGAGCGTGGCGTGGACGCGGTGGCGCAGGGACGAGGCTCTGTCTCTGTTGGGGTGTGAAATACAACCTACCAGAACCTATGGGACACAGCAAAGGCAGTCCTGAGAGGAAAGTTTATAGCCATGAGTGCATCTATTAAAAAGACTGAAAGATCCCAAATCAATGACCTAATGATACATCTCAACTCCCTAGAAAATAAATAAAATAAAAACAATGAAAGAAAACAAGCAAATCCCAAAAAACAAATAGGAGAGAAATAATACAAATAAGAGCTGAATCAATGAAATGGAAACCAAAAAAATAAAACCATCAAAGATTAATGAAAACAAAAAAGTTGGTTCTTGAAAAATAACAAGATCGACAGACCCCTCTGGGAAACCCTGACTTAAATGAGATAGAAAAAACCCAAATTGTAGAATCAGGAACGGCAAAAGAAGGAGATAACAACAACACCATGGAAGTCCTGGAAATCACAGAAGACTTCTTGAGAACCTATATTCAAATAAATTCGAAAATCTTAACAGAAATGAAGCAGATTTCTAGACACATATGATCATCCAAACTGAACCAAGAGGATATTAATCACCTGAAAAGATGTTAACACAAAATTGAAATTGAAGTAGCAATCAAGAGTCTCCCCAAAAAAAAGTCCCAGGACCTGATGGATTCTCTGCTGAATTCTATCAAGACCTTTAAAGAAGAACTCATACCACCCTCCTAAACTGTTCCATGAAATAGAAAGGGAAAGAAAACTGCCAAAACATTTTATTGAAGCCAGCATTACACTTATCCCAAAACCAGGCAAAGACACTCCAACAAAGAAGAACTATAGGCCAATCTCCTTAAAGAACATTGATGCAATCCAAAACCAGGCAAAGACACCTCAAAAAGAAGAAACTATAGGCCAATCTCCTTAAAGAAACATTGATGCAAAAATCCTCAATAAAATAATGGCAAAGCCGAATTCAGCAAACAGATCAAAAAGATTATTCACCAGCGACAAGTAGGCTTCATCCCAGGGATGCAGGGGTGGTTCAACATATGAAAATCAATAAACATAATAAAACCACATTAACAGAAGCAAAGAAAAAACCACTTGAATCATCTCAATAAAGATGCAGAAAAAGCCTTGATAAAATCCAACACCATTTATGATAAAAGCTCTAAGAAAACCTAGGAATAGAAGGAAAGTCCTCACACATTATAAAACTTATATGACAAACCTACAGACAAGCATTTACTTAACAGAGAAAAACTGAAAACCATTCCCTCTAAAATCAGGAAACTAGACAAGGATGGCCACTTATCTTCCACTCCTATTGCAACATAGTACTGGAATTCCTAAGCCAGAGCAATTAGGCAAGAAGAAGGAATAAAAGGAAATACAAATAGGTAAAAGAACTGTCAAAATATCCCTATTTGCAGACGATATGATCCTATACCTTAAAGACAAAAAAACTCTACTCAAAAGCTCCTAGACACCATCAATAGCTATAGCAAGGTAGAGGATATAAAATCAACATAGAAAAATCATTAGCATTTCTATACACTAATAATGAACAAACTGAGAAAGAATATGTATGAAAACAATTCCCATTTACAATAGCTTCAAAAAAAAAAATCAAAATACCAGGTGTAACTTAACAAAAGATGTGAAAGAACCTCTACAAGAAAACTATACACTTCTGGAAGAAAGAGATGTGAGGAAGACTTATAGGAAAGTGGAGAGATCTCCCATGCTCATGGATTGGGTAGATCAACATAGTAAAAATGTCTATACTCCAAAAGTAATGTACATGTTTAATGCAATTCCCATCAAAATTCCAATGACATTCATTAAAGAGATTGGAAAATCTACCGTTTAAATTTATATGGAAACACAAGAGGTCAGAAAGCCAAGGCAATACTCAGTCAAAAGAACAATGCAGAGGTAATCACAAACCTTGACTTCAAACTATAATTACAAAGCAAATAACAATAAAAACAGGCATGTACTGGCACAAAAACAGACATGAAGACAGTGGAACGAATAGAGGACCCAGATATTGAAGCACACAACTATTAACCAACTTGTCTTGACAAAGGAGCTAAAAAAATAATCGATGGAGAATAGCAGCCTCTTAAACAAAAACTGCGTTAGCGGTCTGCAAAAAAACTGAAATCTTAGATCCATGGTTTATTCACCCTATCCAAGATTAACTCAAAATGGATCAAGGATCTTAATTATCAGACAACAAAACTCTAAAGTTGACACAGGAAAGAGTAGGAAATTACTTCTTGGAGTTAGTAGGTATAAGGTAAGAACTTTCTCAACAAACCCCAGCAGCCACAGCAACTAAGAGATAGCATAGATAAATGGGACCTCATAAACTAAAAAAGCTTCTGTTTCATCAAAGGAATGGCTCTAAAACTGAAGAGAACAACCACAGAGTGGGAGAAAATATTTGCCAGCTACACATCAGACCAAGGACTGATGATTAACCAGAATATATAGGGAACTTAAAAAACTAAATTCTGGGTTTCGGAGGACAATATGGCGGCCTCCATGCTAGGCTCTCTGCTGGGGACGTTCCGGCAGGTGGTTCCTTCATCAACTTCAGGCCAAGTTCGAGGTTACTATGTAGATTGGAGAATGTTGTGTGATGTGAAAAGTCGAAAAATGGCCTATGAATATGCAGATGAGAGGCTGAGGAATAACTCGCTCAGGAAAAATACCATCTTGCCAAAATATCTTCAGGAAGAAACTGACGAAGAAATTGCTGCCCTTCCCGGGATAGCTGTCCTGTTAGAATCAGAAATCGGTGTGTTATGACATCCCATCCTCGTGGTCTAAAGCGGCGCTGGAGGCTTAGTCGTATTGTCTTCTGTCATTTAGCAGGGACCATGGAAACTTTCTGGGTTCCAGCTGAGCAATGTGGTTGAATCGCTCCAGAACCTGAAACTTTCAGGAAAAACCAGAAGAAACTTCTAATAGAGGGAAAACTCCACTTTTATAGGGGTCACTGTATTGTCATGTTCTACTTGATGCTGTCTATAAATGAACCAAGTGCTTGGTGGCTTATGCCCTCTAATCCTAGCTACTTTGGGAAGATGAATCTGCAGGATGCAGTTCAAGCCAGCCCAAGCAATAATTCAACGAGACCCTCATTCTCCAATTACCAGAGCCAAATCTTACTGAGGTGCCTCAAGTGGTTAAAGTGCCTGCTTTGCAGCATGGAAGCCCAGTTTCAAACCTGTCCCACCCAAAAAAAAAAAAAGAAAAGGAAAAAAGTAAATAAGTAAGTTTGGATGTCTTATGTCAGTGAATTATCTTTTCTCTGATTTAATAGACATACTATTCCTATACATGATGTAAAGAGTAGAATAAAAATATTCTGTGAAAAAACAAACAAACAAAAAACCTAAATTCTCCCAAAATTAATGAACCAATAAAGAAGTGGGCAAGTGAACTAAACAGAACTTTCTCAAAAGAAGAAATTCAAATGGCCAAAAAACACATGAAAAAATGCTCACCATCTCTAGCAATAAAGGAAATGCAAATTAAAACCACACTGATTCCACCTCAACCCTGTTAGAATAGCCATCACTAGCAACACCACTTTCACACTGCTGGTGGGTATGTAAACTAGTACACCTGGTAAAAAATTTGGAGGCTACTTAAAAAGCTAAACATTGATCTACCATTTGATCCAGCAATACCACTCTTGGGGATATACCCAAAAGACAATAACAAAGGTTACTCCAGAGGCACCTGCACACCCATGTTTATTGCAGCACTATTCACAATAGACAAGTTATGGAAACAGCCAAGATGCCCCACTACTCACAAATGGATTAAGAAAATGTGGTATTTATACACAATGGAATTTTATGCAGCCGTGAAGAATGAAATTTTATCATTCTCTGGTAAATGGATGAAATTGGAGAACATCATTCTGTGTGAGGTTAGCCTGGCCCAAAAGACCAAAAATCGTATGTTCTCCCTCATATGTGGACATTAGATCAAGGGCAAACACAACAAGGGGATTGGACTTTGATCACAAGATAAAGCGAGAGCACACAAAGGAGGTATGAGGATAGGTAAGACAGCTCAAAAACTAGATAGTGTTTGTTGCCCTTAACGCAGAGAAACTTTAAAGCAATTGAGGCCAATAGGAGAAGGGGACCAGGAACTAGATAAAAGGTTAGTTCAAGAGGAATTAACCTAGAAGGTAACACACATGCACAGGAAATCAATGTGAGTCAACTCCCTGTATAGCTATCCTTATCTCAACTAGCAAAAACCCTTGGTCCTTCCTATTATTGCTTATACTCTCTCTTCAACAAAATTAGAGATAAGGGCAAAATAGTTTCTGCTGGGTAGTGAGGGGGAAGTGGGGGAGAGGGAGGGAGCAGAGGGATAAGGGAGGGGGTGAGGGAAGGGGGGAGAGATGACCCAAACATTGTATGCACATATGAATAAAATAAAAATTTAAAAAAAGAGCAGCATAAAGGCTATAGTGAAACCTTAAAGACTTGTTACAACTTTGAATTTTGCATGCATTTTAGCTTTTTTAAAAAAATCTTGTTTATCCCCTTATCATAGCAAGGATTAGAAACTTGCTTTGAACATTTTAGACTTGCATACTCACTGCAACGATGAGAAAAAGGAAATGGGAGATAGTGGCTCTCCAGGGGCTGGTGAGGGGCAGGGTGCAGGTGATACAGATGCCAGAGAAGAGGTGGGAGGCAGTGGGGTTGGATAAAGACCTGGAGAGGATGCTGGTGCCAGGAGGTACTGAAGCTAGTAATAGTAACTGTTCCAGTTTCATGGCTCCACCCCACAGATGTCCCTAACCCAGGTGACTGAGTGGTCCCAAATGGTCTGCCAGTATCAGGGCTGCCTCTTCCTTCTCCTCTTCCCTTCCTCCTCCTCGCTCTACCACTGGATCCATGCCCACAGCCCTTGTTTCTTTAGATATTTTTCAAGTAGAGTCTCACATTTTTGTCCAGAGATCCTCCTACCTGTGCACCTGGGATCACAGGAATGAGCCACTATGCCAGATCCTCTGTCTTATGCTTTTATTTGTGCTGTCAGATGGCTTAGAATGGAGTCTGCTCACCTGGCCTCTAACTCTGTCCATCTGCTGGGATGAGGACTTCTCATTTGCAGTCAGTTGCATTCAACACATGTTACCCACCTGGGCAAGAGAGACAAAGTGAACTAAAATATATCCTCTGTTCTTATGGATCATGTTCCAGTTAGTGGAAGTAGCCACCTGTGGGTAACCTGTTAAGCAGGGAAGAACTACACAGAGCATTGCCTCTGACTCTGCCCACAATCAGTTTTCTTGGTCTGTCTGACACTTCCCAGCCCTGTCTCAGGGGGACTGGCATTCTTTAAAAAGTGTGTGTTATTAGCTGGGTGCAGAGGCTCACTTGGGAGGTGGAGAACAGAAGGATTGATTCAAGGCTGGCCTGGGGACACTATAAAAGCTGGTATAATGGCATGCCCCTGTCATCCCAGCTACTCCGGGATCATAAATAGGGTTGTAGTCCAGGCCTTCCTGAGTATAGATGTGAGACTCCGTCTCAAAAATAAAGCAAAAAAAGCTTCAGTGTAGCTCAAATAGAACAACTGCCTAGTGCTCTATTTGAAATCAAGGCACTGATTTCAAACCCAAGTATCACCAAAAACAAATAAACAAACAAAAAAAGTGTGTGGTGTTTTCTTAAGAAGGTGTTGAGTTGGAGTCTGGTTCTTTTACCAACTCTGTAGCTTACACAGGAGCAACTGGCCACAAAGTAACTGCAGTGCTCAATAAGGACAAATGTTCTTGTGCTTTCAGAAGAGGTAATGCTGATTCTGTAGGCTGCTCACTCTGCAATGTTTGGACTTGGCAGCTTTGGAAAGTGGGCTCACAATGAAAAATTGCATAACATTTTAACTAAAGTCACTTTCAAATCCCTAGACCTGTGCAACCACTAACACTTGAATACAGAACGCCCGCATAAAGCTGGCAAGTGTTATAATGACATGAGCAGAAAGGGTCAGGAGAGGGCAAGTTCAAACTTTGAAACACCACTAACACGCAGTTCATGTGTTTGAGAACCGGACACAGGGAACCCTTGGATCTTAAGGTGTGTTGTACAATACCTCTTTGAACATTTTCTTCAGATGTGGAGATGCCTTCTATAGAAGAGAGTGACCTCAAAATTCTGCACTTTGTCTGAGGTAAGTGCTTTTGTTAACTAATGAGCTGAATCTGTGGTTAGTCTAGGTGACAATTTCATTTTCAAACAAAAAGTGCCATTAAAAAGTTGATTGATTTCAACAGCATGGCATAGAGTAATTTTTCCTAGAGTATTGTGTCTTATGTGTCTGGCACTTAGTAGTTGCTTTGTAAGTATTTGCCATGTGAATGAATAAAATACAAACCTTCCTCCTCCCCCAGGTTAACAGCTCACCTGCCAACAAAAGTGGTCTGGCCTACAGAAGGGAAAGGGCCTCAGAAGTTGCTGGAATGCTGGCACATGTAACTGTCAGGGTGGAGAAAGAAGTGGCAGGAGCACAGCCTTCATGACACATCCAGGGAGGAGAGGGAGGTCCAGCACTCAAAACCACAGTGCAGCTGTCCCTGTCCAGTGATCCCTGACTCAGCCATCCCTAGTCTTCCCAGGGCCCTCCTTTTATAGCCAGTTTTCAGTGCAAGAATGGGCTACTCTGCCAGGGCAGAGAATAACTGTAGATCTCTGAACAGCTTTTTTGGGGCCCACAGTAAGAATATATTTCATTTTGTGAACCAGGAAGATACTGAGCAACATATAATTGAAACAAAATTCATAGCACAGTAGTTGTCCTTGCTCTAAGTGATGTGCTGGTGTTCTTCTCTATTCTATTCTCTGTTCCAATAAAGAAAAAGTGGCACTCTGTGCTGATTTCACAGTCCACTAATGGACCTGCAGGAAGGGTGTGCTTCAGACTTGCCATCTCAGATAGCCTGTGGCAAAGGGAAGGGTGACTCTCCCCATGCCCATACTTGGGAATGTGCAGGAAAGAATGATACAAATACCTGTTTTCTAGAATCTGAACAAGAAATCTCAAAGAAGAGGTCTTTGCTTATATAGAGACAATATTCTATGATTATCAGTAGAACTGATAATCCTTCCCAGGGAGGAGGCCACTTCTGAGTGCTCTAGAAAGGGAGTCTCATGAACAGAGAACTACACAGCTTCAGACTCAGTGCTCCAACACACTGAGGATCCCTGTATCAGTGTCCCCAGTTGTTTGTCTCATCCCATCAGATTCCAGTGAGAGTTCCAGTGGAGGGAGCATGGGAAGTTGGTTCTGTGATAAAAATAAGTGAAAGAAATCCTGAGCGAAAAGACTTCTCTGACTCAGGTTTTATTGCCTCAGGGAGTAGGGAGGGTTGGGGTACAGAATATGATGTTTTTCTGCCATATTTGACCATAGAGCTCTTATGTCAAATAATCCCTGAAAATCTGCAAAAGCCACGTTAGGGAATACTTTCCCAAAAGATGGCTTTCCCCCTATTTTCTTCAGCCTCTTCCTCCTTCTTCTTTTTTGGTGGTACTAGGGATTAAACTCAGGGCCTTGAGCTTAAGCCATGTGCCCAGCTGGCTCTTTGCTTTTTTTTGGCCATACCGGGGTTTGAACTCAGGGCCTCATGCTTGCTAGGCAGGTGCTCTACCATTTGAGCCACTCCACCAACCCTTTTTCGTGTTGGGTATATTTGAGATAAGGTCTCACAAACTATTTGCCCTGGCTGGCTTCAAACCATGATCCTCCTATCTCTGCCTCCTGAATAGCTTGGATTACAGGTGTGAGCCACTAACATCTGGTCCTCTCTACTTCACCAGCTGGGAGGAAAGGCAGGCAAGACACTCCTTCACTCCATCCCCACTAAGGATGGAGTCAGCAAGCACAGATGCTTACCTATGTTTGCCTAATAAGATGAAGGAGCAACAGAACTTTGCCAGCATTTTAAGAAGACCCTGGTGATTTCAGTTGTCATTTACAGTTGTAACCATTCAAAAGAGGTCCCTGTGGTCTGTGAAGTGAAGGGATTTAGAAACTTACTGAGGTTATACAAACTGTGACCTGTGGAGCAGAATCCCTGAGGCAGCAAGCCACCTGAGCTAACTCCAGCTTCCAAGCCTTTTTGTGACCTTACTTCTGTTTCCCATTGTAACTCTTAAGAAATTATATTTTATTATAGCAATTGACATTTTCCTGGTACTTTCCTGGTTATTAAGGCTGACAGATTCATGAAGCTCTCAGGACATAATTTTTCATAAATATCAACAATCTACAGTAATTTTTAGGTTTGAACTTTATCAATTTGTAAAACCCAAAAGGGCTCCAAGTATAAAGAGCAAGTTGTGCCCTGCCCACCTCCAGGGGGTGCCATTCAACTGACTGAGGTTGCTACAGGGCAGCACAACTCTTAAAACATGTTTGTGTTTTAACTTTATATAAGAAAAGGTTTCAGAGGGCTGGTGGAGTGGATCAAGTGGGAGGCCCTAGTTCAAATCCTGGTGTGCTCTCCCCTCCCCCCAAAAAAGAAAGAAAAGTTTCAGAGTAGGTCTGACTCTCCAATGCATTGTCTTTCACCCACTGATTCTTATTTTTCAATAAGCAAAGAATCTCAGTGTGGGAGTGGTTGAGGATTTTAAAGTCTGGATTCAGACTCAGGTCCCCCAGCTCCTGTAAGACAGGAAGGATGGCAACCCTCATCCACCAGCCTGAGGCAAATGAAAGCTCTTTATGAAGGTCATCAGAAGTCATCTCAGAAGGCCAAGCTCTCTGCTCCAGGATGCAGTACCTGAGTTTGCTACTTCAAGGCCAATGGCACCAGGAAAGCCCCCACAGACAGTTCTGGAGGGAAATGGGTTGCAACAAAGTTTCATGCAGAGTAGTTAGGCATTGTGCCTAAACTTTATTTGCTTCCAACCTGGAGAGAGATAGGACTACCCTGAATATTGAAGCCTACCTGGAATTCTTATTTTCTTCTAAAAGTTTTTGCTACCATATACTTACTATCTTGGTTCCTTGTATATATACCACTATATTTATATCTCAATATAGTAACAAAAATCCATCCCCGATCTCAGAGGTGACAATTTTTAGGCAGCATCTCTCTGTATCACTTAACTATAAAATGAGCAATAGGCCAGTTGCTCAGCTACTTGGGGGGCTGAGATCAGGACAATTATGGTTTGAGGCCAGCTTGGGCAAATAGTTTAAGAGACCCCATCTCTAAAATAACTAGAGCAAAATGGACTGGAGGTGTAGCTCAAGCAGTAGAGTGCCCTGAGTTCAAACCCCAGTCTCACCAAAAATAAATAAAAAAGCAACCATAGTCCTAAAGAGCAGGAGAATGAACGAAGCCTTACAAAATCTCTCCATGAGCACATTCTGTGGTGCGGGATTTCACAATGCCAAAAGAATAAAGTGAACATAGATAATAAAGGGAAACTAGAAAAGCTGATAGAGCTCCCTTTCATAGCCTGTTTTTTAAAAAATCATGCTGACAATTTCTTAACCAACTTGCAAATTTTCAAACACTCTTTCCATTCTTCTTAACAGCATCTACCCCCCACTTTCTGCCTTCATTTCTCCACAGACCTGTTATCCCCAAAGTCCTATAACTGGCTTGGCTGGGCTGGCTAGGTCACTGACTTTGTGTTAGGGCTTGTCTCTGTGTAGCCTGCAGTGTCTCTTCCAGTGTCCCTCCCGGGATCCTTCCCAGTGTCCTGGCTTCCACAGAAACTTCTTAGCCTGGACTGTCTTGCCAGCAGCATTTTACTGACAGCTGCTCTATACTTCTTGGAAATAAGGTTGTAGAGAATTGGGGTGATGGATGCCCTGAGATAGAAAAGTTGCAGAGCGACAATATTAAAGTATTGCGAGAAGTACATCGTTCGGGAGTCTTCCGTGTTTATGTAAATGATTCTGCCAACATGGAAAGGCAACCAGCAAACTATGAATGCCAGAACCACCACCACTGCAAAACAAGACACAGGCGCCAGAATTAGCAAAAGCATTAAAAATAAAATAAGCCCCACACCCTTCCAAGAAATCATCTGCTGTAACAAATAACAGGACAACAAATCAGAAACTTTTCTAGCCAGATTCTCCTGTGTGTGGGGTGGAGTGTGTGGGGTGGGGTGGGTGGGTGGGGGTATGACCAGTTGTTAACTACATGGGTGTTTCTTTAAAACTGCCTGTTAGGCTCATGTTATGTGTTATCAAGGCTGGACATAAACTAAAGAGCAATTGCTCCCTCTCACTGCCTTTTTTGTGAGGATACTGGAGCTTGAACTCAAGGCCTCGCTCGCTCTTGCTTGCTAGGCAATTGCTCCGAAAAAGGCGTTGTGGCAGGCTTCCTTCTTCACCTCTGCTTCAGAGACATGTTCTCTGTTCTTAAAAAAATTCTGAAACAGATTTACCCAATCTTTGACTTTTTGATAGGGCCATGCCTCGCTTTTTTTTTTTTTTTTTTTTTGCCTGCATGTTAACTTGGCATTTAATGAAATCTTTAGCTGGATACAATCTGCACACTCTTCTCAAGGGTATTGCAACACACTTCTAACAGAGTACCCAGCAGAGAAGGCTGTTGGATTAAGAGCCCTCGAGATCCATCCTGGAATTTAGGGGCTTTGGGAAATTCTTGCTGTTTACAAGATCCGGGAATCCCACCCTCGGAGGCGCCTTGGATACTGCGGGACAGGAGATGGTTTTCTCTGGAGATGGGACGTACAGGCGAGTAGAGTTCGTGCGGGCCCACTGGCAGTGGTCACCGCGGGCTGGGGTGTTTGGAATAGAGGCGGCACCATTTACGCAGGACACGGACGGTCTGCCGGTGGCCCCTTTCCCTCCCCACGGCGGCCGGGCCTCGCAGGGGACCCCGGCTCTTCCACAGCTCCCGCCCGATGCGCCCATAGAGGACGCTGAGGCACAGGAAGAGCAGGAAGAAGTAGGCGGTGGTGACCCACAGCATGGTGCGCAGCGCGCCCAGCTGCGCGTGGCTCGGCCGGCACTCGCGACTGAACAACGCGGCAGCCTCGCCGGACGATGGCGAGGACAATGGTGGCGGCCGCGTGGACGCGAGGGACGGCGGCGGCAAGGCGGGGGGCGAGGGGTTGAGCTGTGCGGTGCCGTTTAGGTCCGGGGCAGAGAAGATGCTGGGGTCCTGCTCCACGCCCACCAGGAAGAAGAAGGGCCCTGCGGAGAGCAGCGCCACCGCCCAGAGCGCGGCGATGAGCGCACGGACGCGGCGCCGGGTGACAAGGACGCGGGCACGGAGAGGACGACAGATGGCCAGGTAGCGCTCGACGCTGAGTGCTGTCATGTGCAGCAGCGTGGCATAGGTGCAGCCCTCGCCCAAGTAGAGCGACAAGCGGCAGAGCAACGACCCGAACACCCAGGGCCGCGAGCGCCAGAGGCGGTACAGGTCGAAGGGAAGCCCAAGCAGGATGAGTAGGTCGGACACGGCCATGCTACCCAGGTACAGGTTGGTTGTGGTCCGCATGTCCCGGTAACGCCGGATCAGCAGCACTGTCACCATGTTGCCGCTCACGCCGATGGCGAACAGGCCCAGGCACGCGGCTGTCACCGGCACCAGCGCCCCCAGGGGGAAGGCCGAGCATCGGCGCTCATCGCAGGGTGGCAGGGCGGCCCACGGTGGCTCCTGCGGGCCCTCCGAGCCGTCGCTGCCGTTCCAGGGGCTGCCCATGGGCGCAGCGGTGGTCCCGCTCGGGGAGCGCGTCCTTCCCCAGCCCAGGCGGAGCCCTGCCCGCACCGCCGAGCCCTGCAGCCCGCGCCGAGACGCCGCTCTGCTGGGTCGGTGCAGGTCGCTCCTGAGCCTTCTGCGCGCAGTCTCCACCCCCGGCCGCGGCCCGCCCAGTCCCTTGGAATTCCCAGGAAGTTCCCTGGTCACCAACTGGAAGACCCTGCAAAGAGCCCTGCATAGACAGTAAGAGGCAGACTGGGGTGTGGATGATGGCTGTCTAATCCCAGAGCCTGACAATCCGTCCCACCCCTCTGCCCTGGGTCTGTTTCCCCCTCCGCCATCCTCACCCAGTCTTCACACACTGCTCTCCAGCTCTTCCTGCAAGTCCTGTATCTCTTTGTGTGGATAGCTCGTGTCTAGCAGTTTTTCACTCATCCTAGCTGTTGTGGCTTAAATTTTCTACCGTTCTCCCAATTTTCCTTTCCCTTTTTGAACCTGAAACCTGACTTCACTCTACCGCCATGCTTCCTCTGAAGTTCTCTTACATGCAGAAACCATGGGAGGAACCTGTCGCCTCCTTCATCACAGCTGTTTCTTACTGTCCTAAGACCCTTGAGCCTAACTTCACCAGGCCCCACTGTCTCCACTCTCTCCCCATTAACCACTCCCTCACCCCATTCCCTGAGGACCTGGTGCCTCACTGTTTCATCAAGCACTACATCTGATAAAATGCACACCCGCCCCCATGTGTTTGCCCTTGACCTCGCACACTCCTTTGTGTCACTCACCTGCTTCATTAATGATCATGCCCTGTACGGCTCCTGTGGGCTTACCTTATACCTTTCACCACCAGGACTTGTGGGTCCTATATCTTGATTGCTGTCCTTCCTACTTCTGACCTCCACCCTGGCTCTTTCTAGCTCACTTCTCCTTGTCTCTCCCCTCTACAGGATCCTCCTTCTGCCTTTTCCTTTTCCCTCACCTGCCTCATGTCCCCACTTTCCTCCTTTTCCCCACCTAAACTCCAAGAGCAGTCACAGTTACCCTCAGTGCCCTTGCCCTTCTCTCCACTGTTACACCTGTCTACTCACCCAGAGCACGACCATTGCCGTGGTTGAGTTGAGTTCTCTACCTCGTCCATTTATTCTTCACTTCGCTGTTAAGTTGTTTTACTGGGAATGAGTGGGTGCTTAGTGCCCCACTCATCTACCATCCAAATACCTAGCCTACCTTGCTTACTCTCACATCCTCCAAATTCCTTCCTTGCATCCTCTGCTCTCTGTAAGTCCCAGCTACTCTTCTCCATCCTCATTCTAGACTGGTCACTGTGCACCCTGTTTCTCTTTAAAAAGAAGAAAAGAAGAAGAGGAAGGAGGACAATGAGGAGGAGAAGGAGAAGGAAAAGGAGGAGAAAAAGGAGAAATACAGACAGGATGAGTGGAAGAAAATATACCCATGTCCACACCCTCAGGCCCACCTTTTTCCCCTAGAAAGACAATGAGCTGGTGGTCCTGTAGCTGGGTCAGCTCCGCCCCTTAAGCATTCCATCCATGTCCTCGAGGACATCGCTCTATCAATTCCCTTTCTCTTGAATCATCACATTTTCTCTCTCTTCTGGATAATTTCCATGTTTCCAGCAAAATTCCTCAAATGAGTTCTCATGTTCACTGTCTCCACTTTTTCTGCCTTCCTCCTTCCTTTTACCAGCAGACAAGGTCATTTCTTGGTAGACAGTTGATCTGGTTTTCCCTGAGTTCTCAGCTGCTGGGCAACAAGAGAAAAGTGAATGCTCTCACCCCAGTAAATCAGAGTCCTCTTTGGTCAATTAAACAGAACCTCTGGTCATGTTCGGTTCTCACAGATAACTTGTCTTTCCCTAAGGAAAGGTGGCTGGGTCCCAAAGGACACTGGTATATGGGGAGGTGGGATACAGGTGGTTTAAAGGTCCTGGTTCCTGAGGTGCCTGGGCTGGCATTTGCTAGGCTCCAGTTCCATGTCCCCTTCCTGCCTGGCCACCAGCTACTCTGTTTGTCTCAGAGGCAGAGGTCTGTGGCCGGTGAATGTGTGGCTTTTGTTTTTTCCTCAGGGGAACACTTTACTCTCATGGGCTGTAGATCCCTGAGTCTTTACGTGGCTTGGTGAGCAACTCCAGACTCTGCTGAAAGTGTCCTTCCTTCTTCCCCACCTGCCAGGAGTATCTTAAGTCTCTGCCAGCTGTCCCCTGGTCCTCTCTGACAGTTGTGTGTTCTTCACCCTCCATTCAGATACTCCCTTTCTCCACCTAATTTTCTCTGTTTAGCTTGTCTGTCATTACTTAGCTATTTGTTAATTATCTGTCTGTCTCCATCTCTCAACATGTGTGCCAGAGGCAGGGCTTTCATCTGTCTGTTTACTGCTCTTCCACTGGTGCCTGGCTAGATACCTGGTTCTCTGAGAATGGATAAGCTTCTGGCAAAGCAGGGACCTTTATTTCCTTACAGTTCCCAGCCATTGAGAACAGGGCTCAGATTGCAGTGGGAGTTCCCTAAGAGTTTGTTGATGATCTAGTGCAAGATATCGTGTTGATATGGAGAGATAGATTCAGTGGGCTTTCTGGTAACATTGCTATGTTGAGGTTCAAGTGTGACATGGTGCAGAGGGTGCAGCTGAACTGTTACTATAATGGTTTACCATTCCCCGCTTTAGGAGGAAATGGGGTCAGGTGTCTGAGGACTGACCAAATCTATCCTTTACTTTGCAGTTGTGTAGTCATTCACCAACTTCCTGCCTGCAGTCATCTGATGAGTGGACCTTCTCAGTGGATGAGGACACACTCTCCTCACACTACAAGTCTGGACTGGCTATGACCCTGGTTCCTAGAAGTGAGAGGTTAGTGCCATTAATAGGCTTTGGACCCCAACTGGAGGCAGGCTGGGATGTCCTGGGTTAAAAGTAAGTTAATACTTTTGTTTCAAGGCACTGTTCTAACACTTGTATATCTTCACTTACCTGGTCCTCAGCATCAGTGTCATGGGGTGGGATCCTCTTGGTGTCTCCATATCATAGACAAGACTAAAGCATGGAGGTGGGATCCCACTGCCCACTTCCAGAGGTCATGGGCATAGTCACTGTGTTGACCATAGCACTGTCAGCAGTAGGGAGTGCTACCTGTGACCCGGACTCTGCTAGGAATGTGTCTTACAGCTTGTATTCCAGAAGCCAGGTTCTGTGGGCCAATGAAAGGCCATGGAACACTTCAAGGAGCTTCAGGATATGTCCATAACTTGCAGCATGCCTGCTGAAACCTGTAAGAACCTCACAGGCTTTACTCACTTTTCTCCACAGAAGGACAGCGATGGAGGCAGAGGTTTAAAAGTGAGAATCCACAGCAATTGACACATTCCCTAATTTTTTTTGACTGTTGGGGATGGAATCTGAGCCTTGCATATGCTAAGTCTTTGCTGTATCACTAGTCATTTCCCTCTGCTCATTTTGAACCAGCCAACCACTTATGTTTGGAAAATTTCATGTGAAGTTCTAGATTTTTGCAGGGTGCCTGTGGCTGACACCTGTAATCCTGGTTACTTGGGGAGGCTGAGACCTGGAGGCTCAAGGTTCCAGGCCAGTCTGGGCAAAAAAAAAAAAAAAGCTTTGTCAGACTCCACCTAAACAGAAAAAAGTTGGGTATGGTGGTGTGTGCCCATCATTCCAGCAGTGACAGGAAGCTGAAAATAGGAGGATATCAGTCCAGACCAGCCTGGGCAAAAAGCACGACCCCATCTCCAAAAAAACCAGAGCAAAAGGGGTTGGTGGAGTGGCTCAAGTGATAGATCCTGACTAGCAAGCCCCAAAGCTCTGAGTTCAAACTCCAGTACCTCCAAAAAAGAAAAGAGTTCCAGATTTTCAGCTTATTTTGTCAAACAGGAAGATGTGGCAGGTCTGGGCTCATAGTCCCCAAAAGCTGCCACCTGGAGACTGGTACCTACTCTATGTGTACCTCACAGTCCTCTTGAACCCACCCCCTTCCTCATTTGCATGACCTGCTGGCTCCTCAAAACCCTAGAGCCATGGGGCATCCTTTTTTTTGGTGGTACTGGGGTTCAACTCAGGGCTTTGTGCTTGCAAGGCAAGTGCTCTACCGCCTGGGCACACCTCCAGCTGCCATGGGCCATATTAATAAAAGGCAGAATTGGAAACACTGGGCCTAGAAGGGGAGCACCAGGCAGAAGAGACTAAGGGCCAACTTCCCCATCCGCCCCAGGACCTGACTGCTGCATGGGCCAGGGCTCAGGCTGTCCGAGGTTCTTTGCCCAGCAGGGACATAGCAGGGTAAATGTAGGCCAGGCTTCATGACTGCAGAGATTCCTGGCAGTTCTCTGTTGGGCCCAGTTCCTCCTGAGAGAGGCAGGCTCAGCGTGATAAGGACTATTGAGGGAGGTGATGGAGAGGACAGAGCGCAAGCCCCTGTGAGGTAGGTAGAAGGGGCTACATATGGACATTATTACTGCACATCAGCTGTCCATCATAAACTGAAACCCTAAAAGGAAAGTTCTTCTCTAAGGCCACTGGTGATGCTGGAAATATTAACAGTGAGAGAAAGCTGATAATTTAAGCTTGCAGAGTCCAATTCACTTAATAGTTATCAAGGAAATCAATAGAAAATCCAGTTGTCAAACAGGCACGTGCACAGACTGTGTGATGGTTGATCTTTTATTGGCAGTGCTGAAGTTTGGACTCAGGACCTTGCTCTTGAGTCCTGCCCCCAGCCCTTGATGTTTAATCTTGTCAACTTGAGTGGATTAAGAAATGCCTAGGAAGGTGAGTGATGTGGTTTATGCCTGTAATCCTAGCTCCTTGAGAGGCAGAGATCAGGAGGATTAGGATTTGCAGCCAGCCTAAGCAAAAAGTTGGAGACCCCATCTCAACCAATAAATGCTGGGTGTGTAAATAGGAGGCTTGTGGTTTAGGCCTGCTCATGCATAAATGCAAGACCCTGTTTGAAAAATAACTAAAAGCAAAAAGGA